TACATTCGCGGAGGAGAGGATGTTTTGAGCACATTTAGAGTGAGAATGGTGGACCGGTGCTTCCCTCCCCCAGCATGTGCACCATCTGATGGAGAAGCGTGGTAGTGCTGCCTCATTGCCTCTCTTCGTCCTCGTATGAGATATAGGTATGGGAGGTTGGCCTAGAGCGTTCGTTCTCTCAAGAATCTTGTAATCATCTCGTGTAGGTAGTCACAGGGACAAGGGAGCAGCACGGCATCACCCACTCCGCCCAAGACTCTGGACACGCCCCGGAGCAAGCTATTCACAAACATGCTGATGCGTAACTACCCTCTTCTTGCCTAAATGACTTCGCCGCCTGATAGCATCTCATCCGGCATACCCAAAGAAACGAAGCTACAAAGCTATCTACCTGTTCAGCTAGCTGGCAATCGCTAGTGAGAAGCCAATGCTGAGTTCTCGAGCGAGGGGATCCGATGCGAACAGAAAGAGCCCTCTCCACGAACAAGTACTTGTACCTCTCAGGGGAACTGGAGGGGCGGCCCGGGAATGCTGCGGAGACCGAAGACGGTCTTTCGCAGGAAGAGGAGCACCCGTGTTTCCCACCTCGACTATCGGGGAGGGGGCCCTTCTCGAATCCTACACTCATTCGTTTCTCATACTTGCGCCCTCGGAAGTGGAGTGGAGTCTGAGGAGGCCTCGTAATTAGAGACCCAGAGGCATGCAGGGACTCGCAATCTCTCAGGCCGGCTACATTGCTACAGCCAATTGATCATCAATTACTAGTTGACCAGTTTTGTTTGGGTGTCAGTGGTTCGAATCCCTTATTGACTTGAGTGTGCTCTGTTTGGTAGGGGTTATTAGCAAGGGATCAATGTACACCAAGCTCACGATGACCTTGCGACTATTTTCCCCCTCTCTTTTTCCCCTATCAATCTTTCCGATCATCGCACATCATTACATGCTGCTGCCAAGACCATTCGAAACGTGGGACCGGTAAAGGAAGGGACAAAGAAAAGAAAGAAAAATTCTTTTCGCCGCAGAAACCAAACGAAAGGATCGATTTGATGGCGTAATTGCCGAGGAGCCATGCCGCGGACAATTCTGGCTTGATCAGACCACCAGCCAAGCACCGGCTACTGCACCGTAGGCGCAGCTGGCGTTCCCGGGTACGTTCTTGCGAAAAGCACGTATCTCCGCCGCGAAGCGCTGCCAGCCGCAAAGGTGTAGGTTTTTTTCTTAGTGTACTTTACGAAGAAGAACCCCAACGAGGAACATTGAAACTTTTCCTTGACGAAAAGGAAAGGGGAAAGGACAAGGGAAAAAAATACACTGGGCAAAAGGCACCACGAAGTTTTGACGCACATTTTCGAGCACAATTACAATTGATAGCAACAGAGGCACTTGCCGAAGCTTTGCCAAAGTAAACGAGAGGGGAAGGTGGAACGAGGACGCGCCCCTAGTGACGCTGAGGGTTCGTCTAGAAGGTCTTGGAGGGCCTTCCGCGCTTGCATCCGATGCGCTCAACTCCGGCCCCCTTTCCCTTTCCAGTTACGGCGCTGCATAAGGTTGTTTTTGCCACGATGAGATATCCCTCCTTGCTTACCCCAACTGGTTTTCTCCTCATGACGTGATGATTTGGAGATGTCGATTTTTAGCGTGGGGAAGAAATGAGGAGCAATGAGGGACGGACACAACATTCAAAAGAGGAGGGGACAAAAAGGGAAGAGAAAAAAATATCCAGCAACACCAGGGACTCTCAATCGGGTGTCTGGCAACCAGACCTCGAAGATTAACCCTTGAGGCAACGGTGGATGGCTTCAAACTCGCTCTCGTCGAAAAGTTTGGGGAAAACCAAAGTTCCTGCCAGTGATCCGAGACAGCCGTTTTGGTGTGGTGGATGGGCAATCAAATCAATTGCGCTTGATATTGCATCCCTTGAGGGCGCATCGAATGCTTTTCCGAGGCCGCCATTGCAACCGATCTGACTGCTCTGCCGGAAAATCGGCCTCGACGGCAGCGGGAAGGGAAAGTGATGGGCTGGTGCCCGATATTATTAATGCAGCTACTTTTTCAAGTACCTAATACGGTCTTCGCGTTTGACCAAGAGGGCGAGACTCGCAAGACCTTGAAATCAGCTTGGGCAAGGATCACCACTTGCAACCGCTTTGGAATACCTGCATGGTACTCTTGTTTTGGTGGGGATTGAGGAGCTATCCCTAGTTTCTACGAGGTGTCAAAGTTGGTGACCGACGAGTGTCAGTATCCCCCAGGTACACCTCACGAGAGTCTCCGCCCAAAGTCCTCTTCACTTGGCTACGTCCGATATGCCTCCGTGCGCTACATAGCCTCTTTGGTTTTTTTCTTCTTTTTCTGCGGCCGAGGCTCCACAAGCTTGTCCATGTGCGCGACGAAGCGGGCCCGTTTCATTGCTCGACGTGGCTGTTATTCGCCAACGGGTTTCAATTTATCCTTCGAGGCCTTTTTCCTTGCTTCTCCGGCCATCTTGGTTTCCCACCCTGTTTCGGTCTTTCTTTTTTCAAAGTGCAGGAAGACGCGTTGAATTGAGCGTTGGGATCTTTAATACCCTGCTGGGATCGAGAGTTGAGATCTCCTCGGGAGTTTTTGGCCGATTGTTATGGGAGAGGGTCCTTTGGCGTGGATCGGAACTGATATATAAACACGACTGACTGACCTGTGCCTCGAACAAAAACGAAATAAAAATCGAACCTGGTTTTGCATTGCGTTGCCTCTCCCCCTTCCTTTTCCGTCAGCTTTGAGGCTCTGGCCGTCCGGCTTGGCTGTTAGCCGCTAATTTCGCAGTCTTGGCTTGCTTCGGCAGCAGATAGTCGACCTGGGCAATTATTCCCCGAGCCTGCACCACGCGCCGAACTGTATACGCTGGGCGAAAAGAACATTGAAGGGACGTCACCACTTGCAGCGCCAAGCCATGATTCCCTCTCCCGAATCGGCAGCGGCCACTCCAGCCCGGAAAAACAAGGGCTCTGACGGCGGTAGGCGAGGAACCCTTCCGCAAGCCACACAAAAAGAGTGCCAGGAAATGGGAACAAAAGAGAAAAAGGGAAAAGGAAAAGAAAAATCTTGACGTACGACGTCCTCTTAGCGCGGCCGCTACGGCGAGATGGAAGTCGAGAATCGAGGGCGAGGAGGTTGCCCCCAGCCAGAAGAGGAAATTGTGGGAGTGGGATGTGGACGGAGCCCACCGACGTGGGCGCACTACTAGCATTTCGACAGAAGTGGCAGAAGAGGCGAAGAGCGAAAGGGCGAAGTGTTGGGGGTGCCAGCAAGGAGAAGGCCGAAACAACTTGAAATTGTGGACGCTAAACACTAAAAAAAGAGACGAGGAGACGAGAGAGAAAAAGAGGAACCTCTCCACATGAATCTCGGGACTATGTTGGAAACGGGCCTTCCGGTTGTGCGGTGGAAGGCTAAAGCGTTGGGCTTTTAGCTTTGGCTTTTGGAGAGACGCCCTGGAGTCCTGCCGGAAATCATCAAATTGATCGTTTGAGTTGTGAGGTAAGTACGGAATTGGTGCTGGCGAGTACTTTGCTCGCACCAAATCACCCCTTCCGAACCACTAGAGGCGCGACCGCCCTATCAGACAGCTCACCGGAGCGGGTTTTGCCTCCATCTGTCCACCCACGCCCTCGGCCGCGACTAACAAAACTCTGCTGGCACCGGGCTCAAGGAGGTCCACGGGCTCAGCGAGTCAGGAGCGACCCATTCCAATCAACCACTCCACTCCACGGCATGTTGTGTCGGATTGTGGGATTACAGGGTCCTGACCTTTCATGTCTTGTCTCTTTGTCATTTTTTTGTTGTGGGAGCAGATCGTCTCCGTCAAAATGGATCCAGATCTGTCCCATCTCACCACCACTCCTCCTAGTCCTCGGCTCACACGCACGCTGCGCGGACCACTTTCGCTGCTCCAACGGCAAAAGTCTGGAAGCCCGGCGGAGCTTAGTGGGAGTGGCTTTCCTGCTCCCCTTCGCCCCTTCCCCCGAATCTGTATGGTTCCCCATCTTCCCCGTGGGCCCCGACCACACCACGGCTACGACCAACAAAAGTAGTACTTGCAAGTGCGATGATGGGATAGATGAGGGAGGTTTCGATCTACTTGTTGCCTGCTCGCTTTGATACGTGAAAGCCCTCCCTGCCCGGGTTGTACCCTTTGCCTTTCCAACCGGCCGTAGCACCCTTGTCCCGGAGGTACACTGCTTGTCCCCCTTGTCCCCTTCATCTCGTCATCGGCCTTCCTCGACCGTTGTTTCTAGCCCCCTCCCCCCTCGCATCCGCCCGTCCAGCGGAGCATGCGGAGCGCCATTCCCATTCTTCCGCTTGATTGACATTTCATTGCTTTCTCCCCGTTAAGCTTACACACGAAGAATGTGTACTTTGACCTTCTCCACAACTCCCTTTCCCCGGACCTGGCTACGACCAAACAGAGAAAAAGCAGTTCGAGTATACCTCTGGCAAAGCTATCCATCTTTTTCCCCCTCTATACACACACGCCCCCTTTTTGCCTCCGCCTCTTACCTCTACCTTCATTCCTCCTCTCCAAAGACGTACTCTCGTCTGCCTCCCCTCGTGCTAGTCCTTGGTCCCTCCGCTTGTTCGAACCCCTCCCCTTTCTCACCCTACCTCGCTTTACTTTTGATATATAACCCCGGCGTCTACCCCGAAGGATAATAAGGCTATTTGTTGAATACTCCATCCCACAGTCACACACGCCCCACCCCCTCACCTCCGTCTTGGTAAACGATCCATTTCCTACTCCACTCAACATCTTTTTACCATAGCTCCCCTAGTTCTTGTTGAACATATAATAGCCCAGGGACCTTTCTCCAGGTTTTTTTCTTCCTTCTTCTTCGCCATCCTTTCTCAACCCACCTCTCTCTCCCTCTCCCTGCTCAAGGATCGACTCTGGTAGTTTTCATATCCAGCCTTGCTTCACGCCTTCCTTCGAAAATTTCGTACGTCGTCGTCTTCCTTCGATCACAATGGCCGAGCACGTTGCCCACCCCATCGAGAAGGACGAGCATGTTGCTGCTCCTACCAATGGCCTGCACCATGGCGGAATCAGGTACCATGAGCAGCCCGGGTCCATGATCCACCCCAGCACGATCATGCTCGAGCACCGAAAGTTCGCCAACCCTGCTCCTCTCGGTCTCTGCGCTTTCGCCCTCACCACGTTTGTCCTGTCTGCCGTGAACATGCACGCTCGTGGTGTCACCGCCCCCAACATCGCCCTCCCCTTGCCTTTGGCTATGGTGGTCTCGTCCAGCTCCTGGCTGGCATGTGGTACGTATAGGATTCCGAAACGCGAGCATAATCGTAAAAATGGGTCTCGCCGTGACGACTAACAAGCGCTCGCGGTACAGGAAATGGCTGTCGGTAACACATTCGGTGCCACTGCTCTCTCGTCCTATGGTGGTTTCTGGATTGCCTACGGTCTTCTCATCTCTCCCGGCTTCAACATCATCAACACCGAGGTTGGCCCCTACAAGGCTCACCCCTCCGATGTTGGTTCCGTTGTCGGCTTCTTCTTGACTGGCTGGTTCATCTTCACCACGCTCTTGCTGCTCTGCACCCTCAAGTCCACCGTCATGTTCTTCCTCCTCTTCTTTACCCTTGACTTGGCCTTCCTCTTCCTCGCCTGCGAAAACTACGCCGCCAACCTCGGTGCTGCCGAGGCCAAGAACGCCCTTCAGATTTGCGGTGGTGTGTTTGGTATGCTGGCCGCTTTCCTGGCTTGGTACAATGCCCTCGCTGGTATTCAGGACTCTAGGTGAGTAAACCCCCTCTCGATAAGGCACCACTAGCGGGTTTAGTTATGCTAACTTCCCTCTAGCAACTCCTTCTTCCAGGTCCCCGTCTTCCCCTTCCCTGGTCTGACAAGGCCAAGGCCGATCGCGCCGCCAAGGACCACACCGTCTAAGGAAACGATCGATGCGATTTCTGCGTGTTGGAGGGGCCAAATTCACCGGAAGAAAAAGGATTGGGGCATGTCGAGCTTAATTACCGAAACGACGCTACGACGAACTTTCGCTCTTTTCTCCAAAAACATCGGACGATTTACTGCCATGGCATTGTGAACAATTTTTCTTTTTTGGGTAGATACCTCTTGTTGTTTGGATTCTTTGCTTATATATATTTTTTTCACACAAACCCTCTCGTTGTGCTTGACACAGAGGTAATTTACGATACCAAGTCGGTTGGGGGATATATTCGTTGTGATATACCATGAGAAGAGACCGTCATGGGACGGACGGATCATTCGAGGGACATGAGTCGACTCGCTGGGTGATCTCTTTTACTTGGTATATATGTCGGGCCTCCAATTGCCTTTTATCTATTCAATTTACTATGGTATGGAGATGAAACTATCCCATTGAAAAGAGCATTCGATTTTTTGGGCCGTGGTGCTTTGTTGTTTTCCTGTGCAGGTGCAAGTTGTCTTCCCTTCATGTTTGTATTGGTGCACGTTGGTGCGCCTATCTCAAGGCATCGCTTGTCGCTTGTCGTTTACATGGGTTTCTGGGGAGAGAAGAAATGATGTAGGGTAGTTCATTTCGGGACTGCGAAGGGATCATGCGGGCCGCATTATTACAACGAAGCCCGTCGTCGATCGACGAACGTCGAGTGCCGTCTCTTGGCAAAGCTCGCCCGCCCCCAAGTCTTGGCGCTGGACAGGCAGGGTGTTGATTTAGAGTGGGTCAAAATGAGCGATTCTCCCCCATCCCTCCTGCTTGTTGGACGACATCAAGGACGCGAAGGCAAGTTGATGAAGGTGCAGCTCACACCTCAAGACATTGGTCGGGTTTCGGTTTCTTTTCGCGAGGAGAATAAAGAGGAGGGGATGTATTGGATTGGGGAGAGGCATGACGTTGTTCGTGATGCCTCTAAGCAAGAACAGGACTAGGGCGTCGTCATTTTCCACGAGCCGCGCGAAGAACGAACAGCGGTCCTTGCCCCCAAAGACTAAAACGGCTTTTGGCTTGGAAGATGAGAGGCCACTCGTCATCACGGTGGGAAGATGGCATTTTCGACCACTCGACGATTTCGTTTTTTATCGTCAGTGGTTGTGCGTTTGGTGTAGTGAATGGCGGGGTGGCGGAACGAGTCTACACTAATTTGGCAATCAATCGAGGGTCGTTGTCACGGCCGCGAAGAGTCTAACGAAGGGTAGATAGGGAAGCGTGGTGAGTATGTCGACTTTTTTTTTTTTTTTTCCGTCGGTGCGAGCTTTTCCTTGGGCCTCCAATCAGGGACTACGCACCCGCGAGACACAAGGGGCAATATCAGGTCGCGAACAAGAATTTGGGTTGTGAAGCAGGGTGTACTGGAGAAAGAGAGGCAAGAGGCCGTCCAACATGAGCTTCGCCGCTCCGAGTGTGTGGGACAGAAAGCTGACGTCGGTGCCACCCTCCCGTGCCGATCTATGACCACGGGCGTGGGGATGGATCGTGACATTGAGGTCACTCAAGAAAAGGGAGCCAAGGGCTCGGAATGTCTGTGCCATTGTAGATGGGATACCGACACGCTGGACACTGTCTACATGGGATCGTTTCTTGTTGCTTGAGCCCTGGGTAGACGCGGGAAGGCTGGTGATCCATACACAACCATATTTGTGAGCTCTTTCCTAGCGTTGAAATAGAGCCTAGCTGGATTCATGGAGCAGCACGATGGCCTTGATTTTATCACCGTGACGGTGCATAGAAGAAACCGACAGCTCCCAAGGGAAAGGGGCCTTGAACTGCCGCCACCCGCGAGCAAGATGATGCGATGCGCAAAAGGAATTGACTGAATCGCTTCAATCCTTCCGACCCCATGTCCAATGCTTCATTTGCATGCCCGAGGGGAGGCATGTCCTTTTAAACTGTATTATTGATGACGGGCGCTCCCTCGAGTTCTTGCATGGGCGTTGCGGGGAAATGGGATGCGGGGGTTTAACACAATGGATTGTCCACATTGAGAAAATCGAAGGACGGATTTGTCGGGTTCCATCGAGGGCAGCGGATTACCCCGCGGAAGTGGATATCGGGGCCCATCAGCAGGAACGGCCGGGAAGCTGAAATGTGGGGCGGCTGCCGACATCAGGCCACCGATGTGATGCCGTGGAAGGTGGAAAAGGGGAACATTGGCACGACACGAAGAGGTGGATGAGCGCGTGCCCTCGTAAATCTACGTGGAATTACTGATTGATAAAGCCAGATATTTTGTATTTTCTTTTTGACGTTCCCTTTTACTTCCATCTCTCTGAAGTCTTGCCCCGGTCGTCTTGCTATATGTGACGTGACGGGGAGCGTTGATTGGTTAATAAACGACCTGATGTACAAAAAGAGCAAAGGCTAGCAAAGCAGGGCTGCCACAGCGCTGCATCGTCTCGAAGATTACGATTTAAGAAAAAGTAACAAAAATCAATATGAGAGCGTGTAACCGAAAAAATCCAGCCAAGTGGTTGCGGCGAGTGGGATCCCTGATCCTGCGACTTGCAAGTTCATGGCTGCCGTGAACTGGATGGTGCGGTTCCTGGGCCCATGTGCACTGACTAATGGCGGGTTGTGGTACGATGCGTGTTTGTCTGCCCGTTTTCGTTGGCATCAATTGATCAAGTGCCCTCAGTGTCCACGCATCGGAATATTGTTTTAGAGAAGGAACAGACAAAAAGAAAACCACGCCCGTCGCCGATCTCGCTTCCATAATTAGAAACGGGAATCACTATATCTCTTCTTTAGCTCCCCCTTCTCTATTGCTTTGCGCAAAAAGGAAGCGGCCGCGAGAAGCTTTCCACCGCACTATGAGCAGGCGCAGAATATTGCTAACCACGCTCCTCGCCGTATTCTTCGCCTTCCTGGCTATGCTCTACAGCCGAATCATCAACCCGCACATTTTCCGATCCCCATCCTCGTTTTTCCCATTTAGGACCCAATCCACCACCCACATGGCCCAGCCATCCACCACCACCGCCTCCACCCGCGGGCCCGTCATCGTCGTAGGGTCCGGCCTCGCGGGTCTCTGCGCCTCGTACGAGGCCCTCCGTGCCGGCGCCTCCGTACGCATGATCGACCGGGCCGCGAAACCAGGCGGCAACAGCATCAAAGCCTCGTCGGGCATCAACGGCGCCGGATCCCGCTTCCAACAGGCGAAAGGCATCACCGACCACTCTTTCCGGCAGGACACCATCCGGTCGGCCGGCAAGCGGTACGCCGAGTGGGAGAAGACGCGCGAGGGCGTCGACCGCGGCGGTCTCGTGGATCTGCTGACCGAGTCGTCGGGGAGCGCCGTCGAGTGGCTCGTCGACGAAATCGGCGTGGAGCTCAGCGTCGTCGCCATGCTAGGCGGCCACACGGTCGCGCGGACGCACAGAGGCGCGGGAAAACTACCGCCCGGCGCGGCGCTCGTGAGCGCGTTCCTGGCTAAACTCAAAGAAGACCCCAATTTCGCCCTCGAGAGCGGCGCCCAAGTCACCGAGATTACGCAGCAGGCGGACGGTGCCGTAATAGGCGTCGAGTACACGCACCAAGGCGAGACGCACCGCCTACGCGGCCCCGTCATGTTCGCCACCGGCGGCTTCGCCGGCGACGCCCACGGCCAAATGGCCAAGTACCGCCCCGACCTCCGCGGTATGCCCGCCACCGCTGAGGCCCGCCCCGGCACGCACGCGCTCCTGTCCGCCGTGGGCGCGGGCCTCGTCGACATGGACAGCGTGCAGATCCACCCCACCGGCTTCGTGGACCCCGCCGACCGGGGCTCCATGTCCAAGTTTCTCGCCGCCGAGATGCTCCGCGGCGAGGGCGGCATCCTCCTCGGTCCCGCGGGCACGCGCTTTGTCGACGAGCTGCAGACCCGCGACCGCCTTAGCGAGGCCATCATGGCCCTGCCCCCGCGACGGATGCCGGCGACGGCGCTGATATTCGCCAGTGGGACGTCACTATACTTCTCGACCCGGGCGCTGCCGAGGCCGCTAGCACCCACCTCGGCTTCTACACCTGGAAGGGTCTCATGAGCAAGAAAAAGGTCCGCGACCTCGACCCGGCCGTTATCCGCGCCGTCGACGAGTATGCCGCCACCGTGGCGGCCGGTGAGGCCGACCCCTCGGCCGCAAAGACTACGGCCACTGGTCCCTGCCCGCGGGCGAGGCCAACCGCGACCTCGAGGTCGTCGTCGGTCGCATTACGCCCGTCGTGCATTTTACTATGGGCGGCGTCGCGTTCGATGCTCGAGCCCGCGTCCTCGCGGCGACACTGGACAAACCCATCCCCGGGCTATTCGCGGCCGGTGAGGTTACCGGCGGCTTGCACGGAGATAATCGCTTGGGTGGGTCATCGCTGCTGGAATGTGTGGTGTATGGGAGGATAGCGGGGCGGGAAGCAGCCAAGTTACTCGCTTAAGAAGCCGGCGTGGAACTTGGTTGGCAAACAATGTATACCTAGATTTGAAATTCCCCAATAACAGCACCTCCCCGATCCGTGCGGCGTATACAATCAAGTCTCTTGAAGATAGTCTGGGTCTCACGACTACACTTCAACTTCTACAATGAGAAGCTACGTTTTCTTCTTTAAAAACTCCTACCAATGTGGAATACGTCTGGGGAACTAAGCGAGAACATCAACAGATGTATCTATGTCTCCCGATTTCCAAACTCCCAGTATGGCTTCATAGGGGGAGTATTCGGCCTGGTTAGTGGTCACCGAATTTCTCTCGCCGTATGGATCCAACTGTATCGCAGGGAGAATATCTCGGGAGTTGATTATCTCTGCCTCCCGAATTCTCAACTCCCAGTCTAGCGTTATAGGGCGGAGGGTTCGGCCAGGTTACCGGTTACCGAAGTTCCCTTGGCGTACGGCTCCGAATATATCGGAGAGAGAATGATTCGGGGGTAAATCTAGATCCATGTCCTCGGGTCCCACAAAGAGCGCTCCTGAGCCCATGAACCCAACTGGGTCTCGAATCCAGATCCAATACCTATGGAGAAAGTATCAGCTCTCGTCCTGTCGCTAGTAAACCTTTCTACCCTTCGCAGTGTCCATCGTGACCCAGGCTCGCCATGGTCTCTCGCCATGTGCCTATCGCGGCTTTGTATGGAGGAAAATGATGAATATAAACAGCCGTCCACGGGGCACGCAAATTGGTTGATATGCTCAAACTCATGGTTCCGAAGCTCGGGCTCGGTTTCGAATCCCATCAAGGCACGAGGGCATAGAGGTATCCGACAGGTGAAGAGCGGATTCTTCGCGTGGGAGCTGAAGAAATCAAACTCTTCCTTTGATATCCCGTGACAGTATCCTTGGCGAAGCAGCTGAGAAACGGTGTCGCGATAATTGCTCAAGATCTGAGAGACTACGTCGTACTCGGCCGAAGCAGCCTGGGCCGTGCCTGGGGGCCCGTCTTCCGCGAATACCGCACTCTGGATTGCTTCTTGCGACTGCTGACTGAAAGCACTGACAATGTAGGGCTGGATGCTATGGGGTAGCAATTCGAGGCGACGGTCGCGAGATCTCAACGTTGAAAGGCTCTCAACACTATGGATGGGTCGCAACGCACAAAAGATGGCGGTAAGCCTCTGGAGCGCCTCCGTGAACGCAGAGCAAGGATGTGACTTGTGTCTTGGAGAGTCGATATAAGAGAGAACATGCTCCACCCATTGTTTCGACGCACAGTCGAGAAAGCTGTAGATTCCTTTGGCCACTAGTCTCTGGGCCCTTTGTTGATCATTTGATTGGACGAAAACCTTGGCCGCGGACGTCAGGCAAGTTACGATAGCTAAGCTGCGTTGCCGGTGGGCTTCTTCCTGGTTGATCGGTATGGGACTCTCTTCACTTAGCAGGAATCTAGCTCGCATGGTACATGATTAACAAGGCTCTAAGAATATGGTCAAGGGTGAAGCGCAGGAAGGAAGGGGGGGCGTCTTCCTTGAACTACTCACTCTTTGACTGAAGCATGGATAAATCCGATGCTCTTGTCAGACTTCTCCTCTAGTATATATGAGCAATCCTCCAGGAAGAAAGACGGGACCAGTCGCTCGACGTCGTCCTCTCCCTACTAAAAGTAATGGCGGAAAGAACCTCAGTCCGTTTTAGAGGAACTTTCGACGTCCCAATCGAGCCCAGGACGCATTTAACACTATCCACGGAATCTTCGTCGAGATGGAGTAGGATGGTTGATATAATCTTTCGGTAGCTGCACCAATTCCGTGAGAAGATATTTTGTTAATATCACGTTCTTCATCCCGATTCGGGTAGACATATTAAACATGTTTGCAGATAGACTTACAAGTCCTTTAGTTCTTGTGGAGGGTTATCAATTGCCTCTTCTAGCCTGCCCGCTGTTGGAAAGAGCTGCCGGGAGAGAAAGTCGACGATAAGCCGCGCGTACAGAAACATTCCTACAGAGTCGGGCCGAAGGGAGCAACATAGAATGAGGGTCGTTAGTTGTGTGCTCGAAGCGTTTTTTTCTTGTATCCTTAGGGTGGCTCTTATAATCTTGTTCCACTTACCGTCTGCCTTGGCCGTTATCTTATTCCCCAAATCGGTTACCTTGTCCCCATTGATATCCAGCTGCCTCAGTCTCTCAGCCATCTCTAGTGACCGAAGCCGATTCAAGACATAGAGCTGGATCGAAGACTTCAGATGCTCCTTGTGCTCACTGAGTAGGACTGTGGGCGGTCTGCGGGACGAGTTGCCGCGGGGCTCGTCGCGACTTGTCAGTAAAACTTTGCACTTGGTCCCGGACTGCCTGTTCTTGGAAACAAGCGAATCCATCAGTTTGAGGCATCTATCTAACGTCGCCGCATCACAAGAATCCACTCCATCAAGTATTACCCAGATTACTTTGTGTTCCTTGGACGACCCTGAGATGAGAGGTACTAGAGCCTTGACTATCCCCACGAGGATAGGATTAGTCAATTTCTTTTGACCCATGAGGATTTCGTGCGTATACGCTATCGATTCACTGCTGAGTTCGGCGAGTTGACTAATGATGGACTTGAGAATTTGGTCGTAATCCGTAGAAGAATCATATAGCTCGCTGCAAAAATGGCAGACTACCACTTGGCCCTTGAGGGTGAGATATTTCGCAAGGTTATCGGCAAGGATACTCTTCCCTGACCCGGCTGAGCCTTGCAGCCATAGGGTATGGGTATCGTCCGTTTCGCTGAGCCATGCAGCTGTTTTGCCGTGCTTCCATATCCAAGAACAGGTTCCATCATGCTCGCCCTGGGCTTTAGCCAAAGACTTGCAGATAGAATCCTGGTCGGACTCGGACTGTTGGACCTGAAGTTGCGATATAATGTCCTTGTACTGCCTGTTGCTCTCCTCTTTTCGGGCGTTCTGGACCCGTCTTAATTCCTCATTCCTTCTCGATTCAAGGTCGAGCAATTTTTGTATCGCAATGGCGTTTTTCGTATTGGTTTCCTGGTCGATCAGTTCGCCATGCCGCTTCAGGTTGTCCAACGTGGTAGTGAATTGCCCCTCGAACCGGCCCCACGTTGTGCGAAAGAACAACCTCCAACCTATGATGCACACATAAAGTGTGGTTAGAAACCCAATTTCAGTTACGATATATGGGAAGGAGGTGAGTCCTTTTGTGTAGCTTGATGCGGTGCGGAAAAGGGTCTTCTACGGAGTATAAAAACCTACCATTGACGCTAACAAACTTGTAGGCATGTTCATGGAATTTAGCTATGTCGCGATAGTAGATGGCGAGGATCTGCTGGAACCCGAGGTCACTTGCGAAGGCACTTCGTAGTCTCTCGAATCTCCCTAGCGACTCGCCGATTTTAGCATAGGCCTTGATGAGGGTTTCGAATGCCTTGATACACTCGGAGCTGAGCTATTCATGCTCTGGTTAGAAGTCATACCTCCCGCAATGTGCTTTCTTGATCAATGGACTCTCCTCTCGGAGACCGCCAGCACACTCATAACCGTCATGTGAAAGGCGCAAGAATCGAAATAATTACGGAGCGGATAATCCAGACTAGGGTACTAACTTTGAGAATGACAGTTATCGGTGCCCATATCCAAGGCAAAAATGGGGTACCTTGGCAAAGAGTTTCCACGGCCTTGCCATAACATTCGAGCCCCCTTAAGAAAGGCTGTAGCCGCCCCATGTTCCGAAGCAACCCCCGCGCCCCAAGTTCGTTTTCGATGCGCACGCATTGCACTTGCACATCCTGAATGGTCGTGTTTCGAAATCGCCGGGCGTCGGCTACGTTAAAGACCAGCTCAAGTTCCGTAAAGGCTTTCTGGATAAGCGTCTGAGCCCGAGGCGATCTCCTGCAAGGGAACGGCATCTCTAGATACGAAATAAAGTATGATAGGCTAACAATTTGTCCTTGATGGGTTTGGTAGTGCTATAACTACCTCAGCACGGGCTCGGTGATGAAAGGACTGGGATCTACGAGGAGGAAGAAAAAGAAAATAGAGGCCGTTGAAGTATTTGACGAGAATACTGAAGCGTGTAGGACGAGGCACAGGCGCCGACCTAGTGCGGCAGGGACAAGGGACGAAAATGTCGTACTGGAAAAGGGGCGGGCTTGTACGGGGCAATGTCAGCCCAATGACCCAGATTTGACACCGACTGACATGGCACGTAGCCGTTTTTCCACTTCACTTCACATCGACAGCCACGAGGGTATTTTGCGAAACCAAGACGTGTGCACGATGGTATCTACATTATGCAGTTTCGGGCACACTTTAGTCGTGTCAAGCCTTCAGGCAGCCAATGGGCATTGTCTGCACTTGTGCGACCGAGATGGATCCATGGCTGTTATAAGTTGACCAGGCTCTGGGGCGGGCTTGGCAGGCTCGACACAGCTAGAGGCACGGAGAAGGACACCGCCCTTTACTCGGCCTTTTTGGACTTGACTGATCTACTAGTTTCAAATGTGTCACGAAACGAACTGCGAAAGTGCGGTCTAAGAGTCCCATGTGTGGCTGAGGCAACCGAAATCAATGGCGAAGCGGGCAGGCCGAGCCTCCCTCGACGCCCTGTTATAGTGAGACGTAGCCCAACGAAAGTCGTTGGGTTTATCTGGTGCCCCGCCACAAACCCGACAAGGCTGCAACGGCATACATGTTGTTGGAGGTATCCATATAATAAGTATGACTACGCTCTAGCTATCGACGTCCATTCAAGGACTCAGGCCCTGTTTTCCTCTTGCAGCGTAGGGGATCATCTAAAACCTCAAAGGGACCGACGTTTTGGTGCTTACATGATGAGCCATTCGCCAGATTGTTCAGAAGAAAGACAAGCTAAGAGACGGCGAGTTACTTCAATCGTTGATTATCGCGCTACAGACGCCCACTCCCTCGAACAACCAGACGGCTCTCAAGCCTGCCAAAAACGCCTCTTGATCTCGCCGAGCCATGCTCCCTCGCCGATTCAAGGCTGGATGATTTGGTAGGCTCCTCCAACCTCGCCGCTGGCTTCCATCAGTATGGCTGCGACTATACATCGAATCTCCCATCTCCATACGCGCCATCCCAAATTGCACCCACCAGCATGACATGGAATGATGACGCTCTCACATGCCATCCGGTCCTGCCCTGGCAACCGAAAGGGTTTGGTGACTCTATGGAATCCACGCAGTCGCGAACAGCCTCACATCTTCCCGATCTTAGCCCTCTTCCGAACTCAACAATGTTGATCCACGATATATTATCGACGCCAGTCTCCATCGTCTCAACCTTCCACCCAACCAAATCAGAACTACATCAAGTCAATAAGGTTCCCGAGGTCACTCCATGCATTCAAGAAATATCTCACGAACAAGGATTCGTTCCTGACACTATCTTGGGTCCAACCGCGATTGACCCAGACGAGATAGTGTGTTACGGGGCTGTAAGTAGAGCTCTTGTCCTATTTTCAAGCCTATACACAGCCCAGGACTTGCTTTTCCAGTGCCACCTAGTGAGAACATTGAAGATGGCACAAATTTCAAACATCGCGCGTATAAATCCACTAACTAATACGGCGCCTTCTGTTAAATCGCACTAGGTAACGAGCATTACTGGAAGGTGCGAGAAGCCATCGTCCATAACGGTGTTTTCGGCGGTTGAAGTGTCGTTGGACTCTCCAGAAACTTTCGTCATCGGCTGCAGTCCTTCCACTCGAGGTCACATTGAGGTCGAGCATGTGTTTCTTCTACGAGACCTTAAAGAATCTGGCGTTGAACTGCAAGTTTCTTGTACCTTTCAACCGAAGGAACACACAAAAAAGCGCGCGAAGGCGCGACAACCCGAGCTCTCGCCATGTACGCTGGAGGTTGCAATATACGCCCCTATGTCATGCGTGAGGAGCTCAGGGAGTGGTCCGAGATCAACGAGGTGTACCTTCAGGATCCCACGAACCCGGGTCTCAGAGATGCCAAGTATTGCAACCCCCAAAGGCTTTCACTCTGTTCTGGGAAGCCACCAATGCTATCCCAGGTCATTCTGACTCGCGCCTCTGGGAATGCGATGCATTTACGAGATATCGTGGAGGGAGATGGCTTTTTGGATAACTACTTGAGGTCCAGAATTGACCTCATCGAAACAGAGCCACCTTCCGTAGTGAAAACGATTTTAAAACGGCAAGTGGCAATAGATCCGCCCTCCAATATCTGCACCAGACCTACACCCGTGACGTAGAATATAAGGTACTAACCACTGAGCGTACGCGATGTGTGTATTCACCTATACAGACACCAAAAGCAAGCACTTACTTTCATGCTTCGTCGAGAGCAAGGATGGGCCTTTACAGGGCCGGAAGCGGATCTCTGGAGCATCATTGATAATGCGAGGGGAAGATTGTGAGAACCTCCTACCCCAAGAAAAGCCCTCTACTTCATGGTCCATCTCCACAATCCTTGACTAGGGAGTAGTACTGACAAGTTGGCGGTTCGGTCTGCGCCTCAAGTTATGTCAATGCTGTCTCGGAGGTCGTGGAACAGAAGCCCCCACATCAACTACGGGGCGGCATCATCGCAGACCCCGTGGGGCTCGGTAAAACCCTTGCCATGATAGCACTGGCTGCTACTGACCTGTCCAATCGACCCCTCGCGGGTCATACTAGCGGAGCTAGCGATCTAGAAGAGCCAGACGAGCAGAACCACTCTGTATCATCCACTCTTATCATTGTGCCTCCGCCTCGTGAGTATCGTGCTGATATTCTTGCGTGAGACAACTTGTTGATAATGGGTTTTAACTAACAACTAACAGTTCTAGCTACGTGGGAGAACCAAGTAGCGGAGTAAGATCCCTCGGAAAATGCCCCTTTTCTATTTTTCTTCTTCTTTTTCCGTACACTTTGTACTAATAAAATGTGACTAGGCACACATATCCGGGGGACTCAGGTGCATACGCCATCACGGGAAATCACGGCTCACTTGCTTCGAAGATCTCGACTCTGTTGACATCGTGTTCACGACATACCATACAGTCTCAGCGGAATGGAATAAAGCGAACCCGTCCGCGTCCCTGCTTTTCTCGGTCAAGTGGAAGCGAGTCGTGCTTGATGAAGGTTCGTTTCGCGGTCCTCCCCTGGAACAGGTAAGATGACAATGGCACATTTTCTAATCCCGACCAAGCTCACATGATTCGTAACGAAAACTCTCGCATGGCCAAGTCTATCTGCGGCCTAAAGGCCGCGTGCCGCTGGGCTGTGACGGCGACCCCGATTCAAAATCACCTCAATGACCTCGCGTCTCTTCTCAAGTTTATTCGCGCCTACCCCTACCATACCCGAGCCAACTTTGAGCGCGACATCTCCGACTACTGGAAGGAAGGCCAGGACAAAGAGGCTGCCAACCGCCTCCAGAGGCTGTCGTCGTGCCTGCTGCTCCGCCGCCCCAAGACTACAGTGCAGCTGCCGCCCAAGCACGACATTGAGTGCCCCATTGAGTTTAAAAGCGAGGAGAGAAGAGCTTATGACAAGCTTAGAGTGGATGCGAAGGAGGCAGTCGACAAAGCCCTAAACCAAGGGCAAAGTCCGGGCCCGTCCAAGGCATACGTCCACATCTTGCAGCTGATCGAGTCGATGCGGCTATTTTGCGTATTGGGAGAGCACTACCACTCGCGATATCGCCGTGCATCACTGGCTTCAGGTACCACGGCATCGTGGGCGACCATCGCGCAGCAGACGTTTAGAACGCACCTTGATATGGGGTCCGTAGTGTGCTCCCAATGCGAAGCCATCGCCCACCTCGACCATGGTTTCTTGAATGGCTCCGTTTCCTCGACTTCACAGTTCTCGAGGTGCGGGAGATTTGCGTGCGCGGAATGCTCCGTAAAGCTCACCCGTCAGAAACTCACCCTAGAATGCGGACATAAACCCGCATGTCCCACGGCGCCGGTTTCTACGAGTGTGGAAAGCCTGGACGGCGGCACGCACGATGTCGAACCGGAATTCTTCTCGGGGAGTTCTTCTGAGATGCCATCCAAGATCAAGGCCCTAATTAACGATATTCTTTCTCAACCTTCTGACGTGAAATCGTAAGCTTTCCTTCTCTCGCTACTCCTTCTCTCGCTACTCCTTCTCTCGCTACTCCTTCTCTCGCTACTCCTTCTCTGCTTCCATGCCCATGAGAGACGGGTCCTTTTTTTCTTTTATAAAAGAATTTGGGACCCGCCTCTCAGGGTGCATTGCTCTAATCACAATACAAACCGAATCTAACATCTAGCAACTCATAGCGTGGTGTTTTCTACGTGGCGCTTCACCCTCAACGTTGCAGAGGCTGGTTTAACACAGGCGGGCATCCGGTGCCTGCGTTTTGACGGAAAAGTGCCGCCCAAGGACCGCCCTGGCGTGCTGAAGGCGTTCAAGACGGATCCTTCAAAGAGGGTGTTGCTTCTAACGCTTAGCTGCGGTGCAGTAGGGCTAACGCTTACGGAGGCGACAAGGGCGTACCTGATGGAACCGCACTGGTAAGCTATCCCAACCTACTTGTACTAACTCAGTGATGGAAGACTGCAGCCCTCCCGCGTAGGTGCCCATGCAGGTTCCCGAGGCTCACCGTTTCCGGTTTATAGGAACCCGACTGTTGAAGAGCAAGCCCTGGGAAGAATTTACCGACTTGGCCAGACAAAAGAAGTTAAAATGACGCACTTCTTTATCAAAGACTCTTTCGAAGAGGTAACTTGATCCTTGCCGCCGCCCCGTCCCTCACCTCCCTGCCTCCTCCCGCCTCGGTCAAGCTAACCATGGCGCAATGCCCCCTGTTTCCCCCTTCGCAAGAGAGTGATTGAGATGCAGCAAACGAAGAAGGATCTCGCGAAAGTACTCTTATCACCTCATACCAGCGGAAATGCAGAGACTAGCGTAGAAAGACTCAGGGTATGACAATCCACGACCAGCTCCCCGCTTCATTTCTACAGAAGCAAGGGAATTCTCCGCCCGTTGCTAACCTTGAAAATGCTCTAGAACCTCCGTGCTCTTTTGTAGACCCGCCTGATATTACTGAAGTGGTGGTAGCAGAAATGAAATCTGTCAGCGTCCTGCGCCAAGGTAGTCAAACATGCCAAGTTGTCTTGGGCCCATCAGGAAGCGCAGCAGATGGCCGGTTGCCGTTAGATTGTATTTCTTTGTCCCCTTTTGCTTGCTTCAATTCTAGATTTTCGTAGACATCTCCGCTTTCCAATGTCTCACCTCTTGAGTTGAATATACCGAGCCGGCCCGGAAACCAGTCTGCACGGAAGACCCTAATGTGACAGATGCGGGCGCAATTTTGACAGCAGACAGGGGTCTATCGATAAGCCGCCGCCCGCAAGCCCTCCTTCGTTCGGCTCCCACTGGACCACGGCGAACGAACGAACGCTAAAACGGGAATGGGCCCCACGGCGTCTCTCTCCTTCTCCCGAAGAGGAAAATCCCGTGGGCTTGCTCCACATGACGTTTTCTTTGTTTCCTTCAGGGCTGTGCCGAGCAGGCGGGGACGTGGCCATCGCACATGGCATTCCTATCTTTTTCGGGTTGGTACCGGGTTGTGCACGGCTTGGGAACTCAAATTGGGGAAGGGACGAGGGGCGCCGTCCGGAGTGGGGTGGTTCCTTCTGGTTGGGCGGGTGGGGTCCGAGAGGGTTGCTGATAAGGAAGGATTGGCAGAGCTTTGCATGACATCTGGTCAAGGTCAAGGGGGCTTGCACCTGCCTTATCTCTCGACCACAATGACGGGTCGGGTTGGAGATATCAAAAGAGGGCTAAGGGAAAGAATCAATGGATAATAGCAAGGTCCGCGGTGGTGATTCTTTTTCCCCTTCTTCTTTTTCCCCTTGACTCTGTCAACATACCATCCTTTGATTTTTGTGGCCGTTGACCGTCTCTGTAATACTGGAATCTTTGCGTTGAAATATTAAGCGCAACCTCCCAAGATCTTGTTTTCCCACCCACCCCCGTTCGAAATTTTGCCCTAAAAGGGTTGGTCGGTGATCGAAAAGGGAAAGGGAAAAAGAAGGAGAATATACAAATTTTGCGAGAGAAGAAATAAAACAAAAGGGGGTTATCATGTCTGGCCGCAGCGCACGTCCGCAAAAAGAAATCCGACGCCAAGGGCTCCTCATCACACCGACCCAACACGTCGGCCAACAGCTCTCTCCACGACGCCAGCAGCAATAGCACCATCGACTCCCCGCCAGCCCCATCCCCGTACCGGCAGGGACGGGTATTGGGACAACGAACGCGCGCTTCCTGCGGTTCGCAGACTCGTCGGTGGATGTGAGCTACGACGGTACGTCGCCATCGTGGTCGACGTCCCCGGGGTTCCGCGACTATGACCGCTCCCGGCGGACGACGAGGATTGGCAGCCCCGGCGGGCGGGCTTGACGACTACCACTACTACGGCGGGGGAGGAGGTGACTGGTACGGTAGCGCGGGGTCGGCGCATCGGACGGAAGGGGTCTCGGGAATTGAAAAGTCTGGTCTGCGATCGGTGATAGATCGCAAGAGCGATGATGTGCGCAAGGGAATCGCCAAGACCTTTATGCTTGGGCGGAAGAAGAGCCGCGAGGACAAGGGAAAAGGGCTGGAAATCTCGCTGGGAAGGGGTGGTGGAGGGGCGGTGGCGGGGGCAGCGACCGAAGCTCGGAGCACGGTGGGTATCACCCCCGAGACGGGTTCTTTGCCGAAGAAGAAGACCGCGAAATATACGGCAGCCCGAGAGCGGAGCATAACATGTGCACATCACCCCCGCACCACGGGCCGCCGGTTGCCGGAAATGTGGGGAGCTCATACCACGGACATCAGCATCTCGCGGACCCATGGGATGCCATGGGGTCGAGGATGCCCTTGCCTTCACCGCCGCCGCTGCGAGAATTGCCGCCGCTACCGCCGCATGCGAGGAAAGGGCACTAGGCCTCGGAGAGGGAGGGGGCGAGTTACAAGGGGAAAACGGAAGGAAATGGAGGTTTCAGGTCTTTTATCATATTCCCCTCCAAGGGTTGCGTTGAGGGAGGAAAAGAGACTATGTACTGTAATGTTTTGACGACGCATGGAAAGATAAGGCATGACGCCGCCACGGTTTGGTTATGAGGATCGTCTATCTCCTATCTCGCTTGCAGGAGGGTTTCCCCCTCTAGAAAAGTTCCCTTGTGTGTCCTGATTGGGAAAATTTCAACACCGAGAGCAGGGGGCCTATGCGGGGATTCCAGAATTTGCAATTGACCTATTAATCCCTAAACTATTTCTTTATCCTCTTCTCGACCTCGGTAGACTTCCGATACCTTGAGTGATTGATGTCAGTTGAGGTTATGGTGGATGAGGCGCACCTCACAGGCGCCACGCCCCGGATATGGCGGTTTGCCGCCGCGCCAGGTCACGGGATATTTTCGCTGTGTACGCTGCTCTGCGATTTAAACCGCGCCGAGTCTTTTTTGTTTACAAAGAAGCCATCTCGAGTTTCTTGTCTCAGTAGTATAGCAAAAGGAACACGGAACGTCGGAACGCTCGGGGAGTCGTCAACAGCGCTAGGCAGATGATCGGGATTGTGGATATGGATCTCTTGAACCGGAGCCCCGCCCTACCCGTTTGTGGAGAAAGGGTCATGGGGTCTCGGTCATCAGGCCATTCCCGAACGAAACTGGAGGAAAGTACTTGCGGGTGGGAGAAAAACAAAAAAGGCTTGGAGGGAAGGCGCCATGTTGGGAGAGAGGGAGGGGGAAGCACGCCTGGCGTTGGACTGCTTCTTGCCCTGTCTTGGCGTGGTGAGGGGGATCTGTGCTAATAAAGTACCGCTGCAGGGAAAAAGGAATTATAGAAAAAAAAAAAGAAAAAAAAAGAAAAAAAAAGGGGTTCTGGCTCTAGGGTGGACTGTGGCGTGAAGCGAGTCAACGACAGTCAAGAATACCACTCAGAACGACAGGTACCTCAAGCAACAAAGGCAAGCTATAATAAGGATGGGAAAATAAATCAATTATACGGCCTCTACAAGCCAGATGCGACGATGAGGAAAACAATGCCGCCGGAAACAGAGGGGAAAAAACAAAATAATGGTTTTCAGCGACGAGGTTGCGGCCGAGCGATTATTTCAGGACAGGCGCACCCCCTTGGCCGTGGCAGGGCAAATTCATCTTGGCGCGGCGCAAGATTGTGTAGCTCGCATGGGCATGGCATGGGTGGAGGAGGATTAAGCGCCAGGGTCCAAGATTCAACTCCTCCCCTCTCCATTTGGTCGCAATCTATCCCGTGCGCGGTGGGATGCTTTCATCGTCCTGTCCCTTTCACTAGCTCTCTCTCTCTCTCTCTCTTTGCACCACCGCCCTCCATCAGAATCCCAACGACCCTCTAGTACTGGGAACTCTATGCTATTCCTTCGATGGCACAGCTAGATCATTGTCTGTGGCCCTAACATCGTTCTCCTGTTTCAGATGACGACCACTTTACTTGCCCACATCTACATGCGTATTTCTTTTTCATCCGTCTTGACCTTGGTGCCATTCTCATCCCACGATATTGCGATTGGTTCGTGATTACCGGCAAATTTCTCGCCATCAAACCACAGCTCGAATCTCAAGTCTGCCGGAGCCACAATGACCTTGACGTCAAACTGGCAGACGTAGAACTTGTACCCCGGCCGCAAGCATAGCCGTCTCTTCTTCTTGAGTATAAATTTCGCTTCCTCCACTCCAGTCAGATTGCTCTTGATATCACAGAGCGTGACAACTCCCGCTGCAGCAAGGTAGAAGAAACATCGTTAGCACTACCCCTGATAGACTTTAGAGGTTCTTCTTGGGAGACGTACGATGTTTTCGGCTTCGGGGTAGAAACTCTGGTTCGTTAGGAGACATCACAATCGTAGAGTTCCAAGACCGGGTGGTGTCACCTGCTGAAAGCCTGATCTCGAATGTTTTGGTCAGGGGCTCGTTCGGATCGATTGTATCTCCCTACCTCGTCGATTAGCAACCCCTTTAACGGTTCAGTCTATAGCGTTTCGTCACCTCTTCACTCACCTTGCGTATCAACCATTGTATCTGATGCATCGCCCAAACCGTGCGTGAATCGAACGCGTCCGTCTCCCTGTCCTCGTTGTAATGGACTTCGGGCTTGTAGACCTCCCGAACCACCACTCCGTAGCTCGCCCTCGCTATCGTCGTCGCTAGCGTGGGTGTTTTGGTATTCGACTCCATCTGCTGCTTTCTGTTCAAAAGCATGCCTTGCACAACTACAAGCTGCGGGTTTTACAGGGAAGCACGCTCACTTGAGGAGCGTTGGGGTGCGGGAAGGACATGAATCTTTGTTGTAGTTGCTGGCGAACGTATGCGGAGCTTCAAGGCCGCCGGATAGGATCATGTAGTGCTAGGTTTGAACTTTAGCTCCTCGTACGATCTAGGGAATTCCTGGGATACTTGGGAACGCCGGAACACGGACACTCACTTACCACTTGTTGAGACGGGTGATTTGCTTTCAGCCAGTCGAGCTGCTCTACAATCTTGTTCATGATGCCTACTATTTGCTGGTCGAATAAAGACTGAATCTCTTGACTGCATTCCGCGCGCGTAGTTCAGCATCAGCGAGCCTACACACAAGTCCGGAGCTATAAAAGAAAAAGAAAAGAACGTACCGCGAAAAGACCATCTTGCCGGACTCGATCCCAACCCCGGGTGTGAGAAATTCGCCGCCACGCCTTCCATTTGTATCCTGAGCACCGGAAGAAGCATCACGGCCTGCTCGCCAAATTTATGCTTCACCTGCTTAAACGCGTGGCTCCGCGCAAACCGAGCCGGGTAGTCCAAAGGAAGCAGCTGCATCACATCCGGGCACACGCTCAGCCTGCGCGCGACGAGGTTTGCAAACGCCTGGTCGATCAGCGTCGCGCCCACGCCCACTCCGCAGACGGCGCAGAGCTGCGCCAGCTTGGGGAAAGCCTCGTCCGTAGACGTCACCTGCATCAGGGCGAGGTCCGTCGTCCCGCCCCCGCCGTCGACGGTGAGGAACACCGTGCCCGCTTGGAAATTAATGGTGCTGTAGAGCAGGGTCGCCACCGCCGCGGCCTGTGCCTCGGTGAGATCGACCAGCGCCTTGTGTCGGGGTCCTTCGCGCCCGAATCCCGCGTCGTAGATGATTCGGTTGAAGCTGTTGACGATGCCCTGGTTCGTCCACGTCGTCGGCACGCTGAAGAGGAATTCTACGGCCAAATGGCCCCAGCTGCCATACGGAGACAGGCCCATCTCCGACTCGATCTTGTCTTTGACGCAAGCGTACACTTGCTTTAGATAGTCGGACACAAACCCTTCCGCCTCGGCCGTGGAGCTTGGGAGGTTGGAGACGCCTTTGCGCTGGGCTTCTTCGAGGGTTGCGTGGTCGAGGAAGATTTTGAAGAGCTCCCGGCGTCTTTTGCTCCCGTGGGAGTCTTCGTCATCTTCGCAGTTGAATCCCCACGAGGATACGGTGTTGTTGGCGTTGTGGATTAAAACCGTCGGTACTTTTTGTTCAACGAGGCCTCCGCTTCCGGGCCACTGGTCAATGATGTGGACTGGAGTGCGCCGTGATGTCCATCCCGCACCTTGGTGCTCGTCAGCATTAAAAACTCGGTTCTCCCGTTAAAAAATAAAAATAACTCCCTGTGTGATTATGGCATACCTGTGTAAGTAGTACCTAAATCAATAGCAACTACGATATCCGGTTGACAGTCCATCTTGGCCAATAAGACGGTTGGAGGTGTGGCGGAGGCAAGACGATGCTGTAAGCAGCCAGATCTGAGCTCTATCTCACCTGTAAGGCGCTCTTCTCGCCCTTCTTCACGGGAATGAGAGATGAGAGTACTGGGATGGAGAAGGATGGATGTTTCTGTATTATCGAGAAAAAGATCCAAGCCAGAGATCGTGTTCGGGGCTTCGGGCTCGACTTCAATTTCAAAGAGTAGGGATGAGAATTTCCTACCTGAAAGACCCAACAGCTTCATCACCAACTATGACCCCGGCAAGGCTCTAGATATTGGATATGTGCCAGGCTGGCTAGCGCCTAAAGCTTTGCATAACGCCATGCGCATCCTGGCACCTACGGCTGGATAAAGGTGGCACCATTGGTGCTTTGGCCTGACCAGGCTCGAGCCCTGTTGAAGCCGATTCCCGGATTAGCCTTTGGAGAGATGGCTCCCTTGCAAACGTTTGCCGGTGTGGGTAGAGACCCCTGCAGGGGTCTCGACTCGTCAAGCCCAGCCGGCCAGCCACCGAGAGGAACGGGAAGGTTGAACAAACTGAAGGACTTGAGATGAGGGGGTCCGGAGTGTAGATTCGTCTTGAGAAAAGTTATCCTCCATAAAGGTACCTGCTAGACTTCCCCAGCCGCAGTTCTTTTCGACCCGGCGTCTAACTCTTTGGATTCTTCCTCTCTCCTCTTATTCCTGTTCTTCTTGTTCTTCAGAGCCCGGCTACTGACAGTATCATCTGAGTTGGCCTTGTAAGCATTAGCACTTTGCGTGTTAACAAAGTCTATCAAAGGGAATCAACAGCATCCCAGATGGCGACACAAGAAACCACCCCCATTTCCGACGAAGTCCCCTCTCCTTCCTCTTCCCAAGTCTCTTCATCCTCAAGCGATTCTGGGTTCCCGAATACTTCTCTATCCTCGAGCACCTCTGGATTTCTATCCTCAAGCACCTCTTCCGGGGTTCCTTCACGTAAGTCGAGCTCTATCACCATCCGCTACAATGCTCGCTCGCAACGAGGTAACTTTGAACGCGAGAATCTGTATTTACTCCCAACGTAGCGATCAACACGACCGGGCTGAACAGCACCCTCGCCTCCCATACGCCTGTCCCTACTGATAATGCTCCGCGTCACGGCCTTCCGCCAGGATCGGCTGCCGGCCTAGCAATAGGGCTCTTAGTCCTCGGTTTCCTCCTCGGCGCCGCAGCCGCCTTCTTTTCTTCAGGAGAAGGCAGGCCCCGCGCCCGGTAGAAAAGCCTACGCCCCCAACAGCGGCAGCACAGTCGCCTCACGCCCTCGCGATCAAGTCGACGGAGCGCGACCACGTGAACTTGAATCATTTTCTGCTCAGCGCTACGCCCGAGCGGGAAATCGTGTCCGAACTCTCCTCGATCCGGAACCTTTTGGAGGCTCACGTGGAGGAACACTACCATCTTCAGCCGGTCCGGTGCGATGTGGCCCTTCTCACCAACGCGGTCTCGAACCTTGGTCTGGGGAGGCAGGGGAGTCTGTCTCCGGCGGAGGCTACTTCTCTCGCGCTGAACCCGCAGACGCGCTACGCGACACTTCGCCATATCCTCTCCGAGGTCATCTTCAGCAGTGCAAGCCTCCACGGACAATGCCCCATATCAATTCTACCTGCCCCCATGGCCATGTTCGCTCAGTCCATCCCGCCTGTCGAATCAAAATTGGGCAATGCGGAGGGTACGTTCATTCCTCTTAAATAAAGCCCCCGGGTCTGCTGTAACTAACACTTATATAAACGTTCAAGCTACCTTGCTGGCACTAACAAAATGGCGAACGATATCCACGTTTCTTCTTAGCCCATGCCGCAGCGATCGCTCCCCGCTCCAAGTCGACAAAGTTGCGTCAGCGGGTCAAGTAGACGCTCTCGCCAGTTCACTAAATGGGTTCCTTGAGCCCTTTATCACTCCTGACCCCTCAGGCCGCCTCCAGCAGGTTGAACACCTGAAGGCCGTAATCTTGGAGATCGCTAAGCTAGGCTATATTATACTATCACAGCCCTCCGAGTGGGAGTTTAGTCATAGGGAAGATCTTCGCGGCCAAGGGACCTTCGTCTTCTCTCCCGGCCTCGCAAAGACCCGCGATAGGGAAGGGAGAGCATACCAGCCCCTAAGAACGTCGCGGATGCCGTTGTAGTCCATATTTGAAAGGATCAAGGATCTCATAAAGTAGTCTAGAACCCACAAGGTCGTAGAGTTGTGTTAGTACGTGAAGGGCGATATTAGTTGCCTGGCTGTATGTTCCGTGCTCTACATTGTTTGGGGCTTCTTTCTGATGTTTGTTCATAACCAGAGTGCTTTTTTCTTTGTATGTAGATGTTTCGGTCGTGAGGGGTTCATAGACGACCAGGCTATGTGCCCTCTACGTTGGGCTTGTCTCCTGGTTCAATCAGCGACTAGATCGATCCCTGTAGCCATCGACGGAGGCCTCGCCTAGGCTAGCTAGGCCGGTAGGACTCAGTAAAGATATCAGCCACACGCCACGACATGTTGATTGATGGTAATAGGCTAGCCCGAAGCTTGACTCGACGAAATGCATTCAATAAATCCAGCCCCAGGCGCAGCCTCGGGAGGACGCACCTCCCACCCCTGTACCGTAACATGGCGCAGATGTATTTGAACAAAAGAGGGGTGGGTGTGCCCTTGTAAGATAGATGCAGTTGTGATACGGCCAGGCCAGCCAGCTGCATTGTCCATTCCCCTCCTTTGGGGCCATGTTCTATAACCGGGTAGGCGCATGCTTTCCCGGTGGCCAAGACTCCCCAGAGAGGTTCGGACCTGGGAGGATATATTACCAAAGTACCTCGACTTGCGAGGGCCCTGAATCTTCCCTGGGTCATCCAAGCCCAGCCGTAACTTTCGCTCGGAAGCAAGCCAACATCCCCCTTCATCTGGTCCGGGATATAAAACCCGTATGGAGTATTGGTCAGACGACATGGAGTCCATTTGATTCCAGCGGGCGTGAAAGCCCTATACCACGCCGTTGCCTTTACTATCGAGTTGGATCAAGTGCCGACTGCTATCCGAACATGCATCGAACTCGTCCGTACCTGCCATGCTGACCTGTGCGACCTCATCGACATGCGCAACGAGTACCTGCCTCTGCTCGAAACCCACCCAAAAATACTGGATCGCATGAATGGAGTCATCTCAAAGGCCTACAAGAGTCTCCAAGACGTATGCCACCTTGTTGAGAAGTGCCGGCCCGTTCCCGGAAGCAACAAAACGACCTTCCGGCGACGGCTGGGATGGGTTCTCGTGGACTCATCCACTTTTAAGCAATACGAGCCCGTGATCAGTCGGGACCACAGCACCGTCCTTGCCGAGTTCAACTTGTTGAGGCACTTGGCCATGAACTCTGGAACTTCTGGAGTTCAGAGCGAGGGCGGAAGATTCAATGGAGAATCGACGCCCGCCGCATATCGCCCAACATTCGACAACATTGAGATTCTGGGAGATATGATGGGAGGGTCTGCTAGTGAGTAGTCTCTTTATGCCACATTGATCTATGCCTGATCAAATATGTTCTAGAGCTGACACATGAGTAGATCGGAATGCTGGGGCCCCTTCGCTAGGGCAGAGTCTTGCAAGCTTAGGAGCCGCAGTTATGGCGGGACCGGTTCCGCCGCCGCCCTATCGTACCACCTCGTGGGATAACCCGACCGCTTCCTTGGAGGATACGTTTCTGAAAACCGGCGTTTATGATCGAAAAGAGGCTGCAGACAAGGCGTCATCGCCCACCGGTAACTCGATGTTTGCCCTTGCGGGCGAGCCCCTTGACCACGCGCCGAAACAAACGATGCCAGGGGCGAGCAAGAAAGAAATATTCCTTTCGAATGAGCGGCTTGAGGCGTTGAAGGCAGCACGAAATCTATCAAGGGTATCTATCACATCTCTTATAAATCAAGATGTAGTCACATCGGTGACCAGTCCCCATTTCGCCGAAAACCACGGACCCGCTTCTCTCTGCGCTGAGGTCGGTAGTCGTGCCTCTCTAATATCGCCGTCTCGGGACCTGCCAGACACCCTCCAGGTCAGCAACACATTGCCGGCCTCTGGTTCGCCAGATGATGAAAGCAAGGACGAACCGCGGGAACCGCTAAGCTGGGACCTAGCACCAGAGGCGCCTAGCCAGATGCACTCTTGGAGCACGGATCAGATCAGCCGTTCCGAAACAGAGACCGGGCCAATAAATCAGAAACCAGTTGCTAGGAGCATCGTGTCCCATGCCAGCTTCCTTGGTCTCGTGCCGTCCGTCGTCGAGGATTCGGCTTCAGCCTGTGCAACCCCGCTCTCATTTCCGCAGTCCCCGGGCCATCGGAGGCCCGCGGGCAGACAGTATCTGATCCAATACTTGGGCACGGCACCCGACATTGGATAGATGCCGGAACAGGGACAACTCAGCCAAATGCTCCCATGCGAGCTAACAAACCGGCGAACAGGAGCCCGCTCGCACGACTTTTCGGTTCTCGACCCAAGAGTTTACCGGCACGACCGAGGCAGCTCGCCAACGTGCCAACTGTGGAATCGGCGCAGGCGGCTCTTTTGAGCCCCACAGCCTCCGAAGCTCCCGAACGCCCACGGTCGACTGCGGGGTTTGGGGGCTGCACCGGCCAATGAGTGGCCCTTGGGAGTCGCAGTTATCGCTAGCGTTTCAATCTTCTCAACCCGAAAAATCAGGCGCTGCCAGTGTGCACGTCTCACAAGTCCAACCTACCAGCCATCAACGATTCAACGACCCGGCGTACATTACAGTTCATAGAGAATAAGTCGAGGGTTAGCGGGTGATACGTGGGCTCGTCATTTCAAAGCTGGTCAACGATGATAGCCATGCCCCTCCACAGCAGTTGAGGCAGGTTGTTTTCAAGGTGCATGATACTCGTGCATGATACGCGTACAAGATACAAATGCAACAAGACGCCGTGCCTCTCGTCGAGTGCCAGATGCAGTGAATGTTTAGTGTGGTGGGTGTTGGTGCTTAAGAGTAGCCTTCTAACGTGATGCTAAAGTTGGATCACGCAGGTCGCAAGCCCTCGGATAACGCAATGAAGGAGACCAATGATATCGCCTCATTTGTTGACGATTTGGACACTGATTCTTTTAGGAGTCATCCCTTCCGCCGGGGCTTTGTCAAGACTGTTGAGAGCCAGGCAGAAAGTGCCGTTGATAGATGCCCTGCAGCGATCTAACTATGGGACATATATTTCGGAATTGGAAGCGAGAATCAATTTCAGATAAGGGGTTTTCACTGGCCATTGGCGAGCACTGAAATCAGCATAAGATGGAGTTAAGGTGTTAGTATTATAGCAAGAATACATAGCAAGGTAGATCCATCATGTTGTTCCATGAGAGCGGGGTCATTGTATATTCGCACTGTCAAACAGCCTCGATTAATATACACACATGGCCAAGCTGCTGCACCTCACGGTGCGTGCACAGTAGACTACGAAGTACCGAGGTACTTTCGGCACCTCCCGGTCCGCGTGTTGGTGTCGAGCCTTGCCATTCCCATTTTCGGCGGTGCGCGAGTACGTACTTCGCACTTGTCCCCTGCCAAACATCCTGCGGGGCATCAATCAATCCTCTTTCCTCACCAAGACAACAAACTCGCCCTCTCGAGATTGCGTTCCATCTGATCACAAGGCAAAGACAGCGCTCTCCATCTCCTTCAAACTGGTCGCTTTCTAGGGCGCCTAGGACGCAAACTCGCTTGCGGGAGCTGGGAAATAAAAACCAAAGATTATTTGACAAGATTGCAGTGTCACACTGTGAGTCTCACTCACGTACATATCGTCGTGAGGCGCTACCATGGTGGGGGATGCATGGAGTGGTCACTCGTCGCAATGGCTGCCCCACGTGCACCGAGAGGAGAAGCCACGCCAATTGCGTTTGGGTGGGAGGGTTGGTGGGAGGAAGAGCCTGGCATGAATACAATGTGGCAGACAGACAGACTGCAGTGGTCGAGAATTGGGGCGAGATCGTCGAGGGAACACTTTGTGCTCAAACCAGAGACATTGGGCCTGCCTGATAGGGCGCTAGCGTCTGTGGGCGTCTGTCATTCCTCCCCGCGGGCGGGGCACGAACACAAAGGTATTGTTTTCCAAGGCTGATGGACGACTCGGTTGAATCCCACCATCCTTATCGCCATTGTTGGAGATGGAATACGGTAAATCCACGAGAAATTTAGGAGGCAGCTCTTATATTCATCGCCGGCCGGTCATGATATGGAGCCGGAAACGGGTCCTGACTTTGACGCAACTAGAATAAATTGGCGGCTAACCGGAGGCGGGAGCGCAGCCGATGCCTGAAGATCACGACGTCATGGAGGACCCCGTTGTCGAGGCGCGACAGGGCCCTGGGCCAGGAACAGAACCATCGAATTGACTTTTGAGGCTGACCTATCCCATCACCGCCCTGCTCTTGAAGTGGAAGAATGGCAAAACCAGAAAGGGAACATCGACTAATAAACGGAGAATTGCGATCTTCTGTTTTCTTCTTCTTTCCATCTCGCCAAATCTTACGAAAAGTTATTTTCTTTTTCTTTTGCACTTCTCCTCAGTTCTTTCCCCTACTTGCGAAACACGCCACAGGCTCGGCAGCTCAAAAGTGTTGCGTAAGCTTAGGTGTGGAAAATAATGGTGGCTGGGAGAGCCACCATCGAGCGCTTTTTCTTCGTTTTCTTCCCCTCTGGGGAGTCTCATGGCTAGCTGATTTTCTCTGGGATTGGAAAATCGATATTGTAACAGGGCCGGAAGAGGGCGAAAGGTGCGGAGCAACCGTGGGAAGGGTTTTTGTTTCAAACAGTGATCAATGCTTCGCAGGCAAGGCCAGCATGGACGTTTTGTTTCCTTGCAGGAGCCTCACCTCAAGCGCATCCACGACAGACACCACGAGGGGTTTCGCACAAGCAAGTGTGACTTACATGCACTTGACACAAGGACAGAAGATATCACGCCAGCTAGTCCGAGACCGTGCAGGGCCAAAGCCCCAAAAATTCTTCGCAGCTTCATGCTCGCAGCTTCATTGTTCTCAGCGCATGGAAGAATAAAAAGACTACAATAGCCCAGACTCTTTTCCTTGGTGGGTGGGTGCACCCTGCGCTTGGCCAGCCAACCACCCAACCACCAGGATTTCTCGTTTCTCACCAAACGACGTTGATCCGTCGGATGCCACCCCCTTCACCGTCGAATCACAACGTCGGTTCATCTCACCACCCCTCCCGGATACCACCGTCAGCTTGAGCCGGCAACCACCCCCGCCGACCACGCCCCCTTTGGCGCAAAGAAGCTCCCAGGTTGTATCGAGAAAGAAACCGCCCCTCCCTGTCGGTCTTCCCAACCTCATTACATCAGGGCCCTTGGAAAACTTCCTTAATTGCTCACCCACCTCGTAGATATCCGACTCGTCGGGTAATTTTCTTCTTTTCCTTTTCTTCCCCTACCCTTCTCTTTTTTTTTTTGGTTTGCTGTCTCTTATCTCCTTGAGCCTTGTCGCAAAACAGATCAAGACAACCCGAATTCTCTTTGCGCCCGGGTTTTCAAACACCTACCGGACCCCAGCTAGACAACAACACCCTCTCTGCGCCGACCTCTCAAGCTCGTTGGTCGCACCAGCCCGTCTTGCAGCGAATCGACGTTTGTCATCGCCTTGTCCCGCCGCGCATTCCCCGCCCCGAGCCGCCCTTCCTCCATTTTTGCGAGAGGTTTCCCCCCTTCTCCCATCGTGTGCGACTGAGATTCGCGAACGTTGAACCCCGCCAACAAACTCGAGCGAGGATAAGAGCAAGGGGAAAAGAAACCACAAAAAGAAAATAGTAGCGTAGGAAGCCAAAGAACAGAGGGACACTTGGCCCCGTCGCAAATATGCTGTTCGCACTCTTCTTCGTGCTCTGGCGCGTTTCCCAGATCATCATTTTGGTAAGCCATTCTTTCGCATGCCGCCGTCGCCGCTCCTTCCCCACGGCCTTCACTTCTCCCCTCCTCCTCTCTCCACCGTTGCCGTCAACGGCGGCGATCTGGCGGGAGGTGTAGCTACTCCCAAGTCCCACTTTGTGAAGCGACGCACAAAGCAAGAAAAACAAGGGAATAAGACATCGAAAAGAAAAAAGTCTGAGCTGAGATGGAGCGCTAACCGCGAGGTCCGTTGTTGCATATAGATTCCCATGGTGGGCATGTTGGCCTGGTTCGTCGACCGCTTCCAAACCGAAAATTTCCTGACCCCCAACTACATCCTCATCATCTTCATCGTCTCCGTACTCGCGCTCGCCTGGGCCACGTTCACCGTCTTCTCCTACCACCGCTCCTCGGCCAACGCCACGTTTGTCGCCCTCGTCGATATCGGCTTCGTCGGCGCCTTCATCGCCGCCGTCTACTTCCTCCGCCACATCACGCGCGCCGACTGTGCGCGCACCACCCGCGACGGCGACTGGTCCTTTTACTTTGGCGGCGCGCTCGCCGTCGCCAACATCGATATCACCGTCTCCAAGCCCTGCGCCATGCTCAAGGCCACCTTTGCCTTTGGTATCATGAACATCATCTTTTTTCGGCACCGCCATCCTCGCTTGGATGCACGGCGACCAAAACTACGAGAAGAAGGAGCGCCATCGGTCCCACTCGCGCAGGCGATCGCACTCTAGCAGGCACTCGCACAGGAGCAGGAGCGAGCACTCGAGGCACAGGGTCTACGTCTAAGCTGTACGCCAGATATTTTGCTATCACTTCTGGTCTCCCCTTTTTCATGTGTCAAGACTTGATAAGTTTCGAGCGGGGTTTTCATCTAGCCTGCTTGAAAGGATCCTATTTCCTCTTTGACTATCCACGCCACGCCCTTCTCAAAGTGCGACTCCCGGCCAGACGGGGTATGCGCGCGCTAGCTGAGGGCGGCGGGTAGAGCGAAGAAAAGGAGACAGGCCCTCAGGTCCGAGAATCAAGAGGAAAAACGAGACGAGAATCGAGCTAGAGGGGTTTCGGCTAGGGAAATGAGTATTCTTAGTGTTTGTTCTCGCCAGCGAACCGAGGCCAAGGGGCGAAGAGATGTCTGAAGAGTCGGCATCTCCACGAATGGTCATGACGCCATATGAAAGGAATCAGATCGGATGCTATCACGAGCCGTTTTTGCTTTAGTTTTTTTTTCGGTAGTTCACTTTTCCCGTCTTTGGAGAGGGACGTGGGGGAAGGGAAGGGAATTGGGATGGGGAAATGGCGTATTATAGGAACTGATTATATCTTGAATGAATTGTATTTTGATCCAATGGACGGCTTTGCGCCGTGCTGGGCCAGTATTTGGATTTGTGTCATTTAACGGTCTATCAAGCATGTTCCCGCTGCAGGTCCTTCCCCACAGATGATGAAACGTACGGCCAGCCAAATTGGTTTCCTTGAGCCCAGGCCTGTCCTCCTTGGAGACGGCCCTTGGTAAGAGTACTTGGCCAGGTTCATATGGATACACGTTGCAAGCTTCTTCACTACTCCTTGTTCGTGAGCATGCTACTCTATGCCATATCCGCCTGTGGCCTTTTTTTCTTTTTTTCTTCTTTTCCCATGCTCACCCTCACGTCCTCGTCTCTTCCCCAACAGCATAGCCCCGCGCCACGCCCTTACGCCCCTCCTCCACCACCGTGCTCTCCTCGGCGTCGAATTCGGTCCCGAGCCCCTGCCACGTGCGCCGCGACCGGAGGTACTCGGCGCCCGTGCTCACGATGCCGTTGATGGTCGCGAGCTCGCCGCCCGCGTCGCGCTTGACGAGAGCCAGGCCGCTGCTGTTTGCGGCGTCGGATGAGGACGGGGATGAGGCGCCGCCGTTGATGGCGGCGGGGCTGCTCGGGGAGAGGGGTGATCTTGCGGCGGCGGCGCGACGCATGGGTCGGCTGTGGCTGATGAGCTTGCCAGTGCGGAGGTCGAATTCAGGAGGGGCAGATTCTTCGCCCTCGACGCCGCCCTCGACCTCCTCGGCCACGGGGTAGTCTTCCTCTCCCGCCGCAACCGTTTCTGAGTGTCGCGTCTCCGCCCCGCCTCGCGCGTCTCCTTGGTCCTCAGCGCCACCGATCCTCAGACCCTCGATACCACCCCACCACTCCCCAGCCCACGTGCGCTCCGTCTCGTCCATGAGGGCGACCTCGAGCTCAAAGGGCGTGACGACGGGCATAAAGTAGGCGCGGTCGTCCTCGACGAGGCCGCTCTCCCAGCAGCCGACGACGACCCAGCCGTCGATCTCGGCAAAGTTGGCGAGCTTGGCGGGGTTGAGCTTGCCGACGACGACGGTGTAGCTTTTCTTGGCGGCGCGGGCGAGGCGGGCGCGCAGGGCGTCGATGGAGGGGAGGTAGTTGGCCACGCTGAGGGTGTTGACGAGGATGCCGACGGTGCCGGCGCCGGCGAGGGAGAGGACGCGGGCGAAGCGGCGGCGGAGGAGGGCGGCGGTGTTGGTGGGGGCGAGGAGGAGGTGTCTGAAAAAGTGGGGTGGATGTGGAGGGTGAGGAGGCGGGAGTGCAGGGCGAGGAGGAGGGAGGTGGGTGGGGTGGAGATGTGAAAGGCGGAGTAGGTTTTGAGGTCGTAGGAGGAGGAAGAGGAGGGAGAGGAGGAAGAAGGCGGGGTAGTCGTAGGAGGAGAGGTAGGGGAATCAGTGGGGCCCACGGGCCTTCGGTTGGGAATGGTGCCGGAGGGGTCGTGGACGACGGCGGTGGAGAGAAGGTGGGTGTACCCGCGGGAGCGGAGAGCCGAGCAGATGGGCTCGACGTGGTCCTGGTACGTGACGTCGGCGAGGACGATGAGGTTGGCGTCCTTGTCGGGGTAGACGGACTCAAAGTCGCGCACTACGGCGTCGTGGTCGAGAGGGTACCGCGTGAAGACGTAGATGACGGGCAGCCGCGCGGTCGGGGACAGGCACGAGCGGCCGTAGTGCACGACGACCTGGGCGTTGGCGTGCTCGGCGGCGATTTCGTCGACGCAGCAGGCGCTATATGCCGTGTCCGCCAACACGTATAATCTCGTCTTCTTCTTTTTTCTATCGTTCTCGTCATTGTAGCATTCGCATCTGTCGTTGTCGTCGTCGTCGTCGTCGTCGTCGTCGTCGTCGTTATCTCGGCCGTGGTCTCCGTCTGCGCCTCGCGGTAGCCCGCGTCCACGGCCTCGCCCAGCGCGGTAAATACCCAGGGTATATCGCTCAGCATGGAGTCTGGAAACTGTAGCGCCACCCTCTCCCAGCCGCCGGCGCAAATCTCGCGCGCGGTGCGGTCGATTTCGTAGATGCTGCGGAGCTCATGGTCGGGTCGGCGCGGGCGCGGCGCGAGGTCGGCGGCGGGGGCGAAGTCGAAGGCGTCATCGGCGGGCGTGGAGAGCACGGGGGCGGCGGCGAGCTCGGACATGGTGAAGACGAGAAAGGAAAAAGAACAAGAAAAGGGAAGAAAAAAGAAAAAGGAAAAAGAAACAGCACAGAAAAAGAATTTGGCGGGGCAGGTGCAGCGAAGGGGGTTGATGGTGGGGTTATTTGATGATCCTGGTCTTTTTCTGCCAGTTCTTTTTTTGGCCACTAGCTCTGTCGAATCAGAGTGGCCAGGGTAAGCAATGAGGAAAGTGGGGTGAGCTGCTGGAAAGTCATCCAGAGCCGGGCCAAAATGGCTTAGAAAGCTGTCCGCTACTAGTACCACCCGTGCTGCCGCTGCAATAGATTGACCCATTACAGTGGATGTTAACTAAGCCGATGTTTTCTCGACTTCATCGAGTATCAATACTGGTATAAGTGATGTGTAGAGCCGCAAATCAACCTCCCTCTCTGTCAGACCCCTAGGTTGGAACCCGCCGCACTTGCCGTCCTTGTACCGCAAGGTCTTGAGGTCTTGCAGGTTACGAATAATAAGTGTAACTGCAAATGGGTGAACATAACATTCATTGTTAAAGTGTTGGAATTTCAGGAACCGCGCAAAGCAACTACTACGCCAACGCCAACGTCCACATACCAGGCCACAAAAACCACTGTTCCATCTACTTCCCTGACAAAGTGGGGGATATAGTGGGATTCACAGATGTCTTGAAAAGTAGCTTGACTGAGCTGCTCCCAAGGTGGGCTAGCACCAACCATGCCAGAATAGCCAGCCAGCCTGGTCCCAATTCCTCTCACCAAGAAAAATGCTCCTTGCACGACAAAACCACTGATTGGGTCCGGCGAGATATCCTGTAGTGTACAGACCCGATGGGGTGACGCGCGACGACTGTCCTTCCTTTTGCACCCTATCAATCGTCGCAAAGTCCAAAGTGTACATTGCCAGCCACCTTGTCGACAAGCTGCACAGGCACGTCCCGCGTCCGACGTGCGAGATTCCCGTCTTGGCCAACGAGAACAATGGATAACCCCGCAGTCAACATTCCTCCAGCGCATTTAGGATCCTTGGGCAGAGATACATGTCCTAACTTCTGGACGGAGAGCCTTCAAGATTGGACAAAAGGTCGGCATCCGCTCGCTCCGCCGGAGAACTCCCCGTCTACCCTACAACGGCAGATAGCTCACAAGAGGCGATACTTACATATACAGTATTGTGCTACGTCAAACTAGTGCATGCGTACGTATCTACGGACATCTATATTAAGGAGAGAGATAGCCCCAGTATTACCCCATACCCCGACTATAGACCTGGCCACCAGTCCTTCCCGACCAACTCCAAAGCCACACCGATTCAAGCGCCCCCAAGCAGAGTAAGCCCAATGGTCCAAGGGGCTTTTCTTTGCATTTAAGGATAGAGTGCCACGACTAACTCATAGCTAGACACCACACCGCGATTTCCCTTGCGCTCTGTACAGAGTCGATATATATCTAGATATATATATATCTATAGATATATTTGACAAAACCCCTTTATTCTACGACCTCTTGACCTCCCCACGAAAACACCCAATTGACGTTGACTAGTCATCATCAGCAGCCTTGGGAATGCACCATACCGCACCAACTCAAGTTTTTGTCGACATGGCCGTAGCCCCGACAGATGAGTTGGTTAATGCCAGGACTCCCAAAGTTGTCGAGATACGGTGCATGAGTGCAGACTGCCGCTGGATAGTTGAAGTAGGAAAGTTCTGCCCAAGGTGCCGTAGCGTAGATTAGCCATGCCCAGGCCGTATCCACTCAGTGAAGGTGGAGGGTGAAGATTCGTCATGTAAGGGGCTTGAGCCCTGGCTTGGGCATTGACGCCAGCCAACCCGCGGAGAGTATAGAGGAATATAGCTGGCCCAATCTAGTGCCAATGCCTTTCAACACCGCCAGAGTTAAGCCACATGTAGTCATCGCAGTCTGGACAAGTCGAAAAGTAAAAAGCCCCCTTCGTTCATTTCATCAGTGGCTCTACACCCATTCCTACTCCTCCCGCCCCCAAAATCATCCTCCTCCGCATCCGGCATCCACCCTTCCTCGTGCTCCCCCTCTGAATCACCAACCTATACCCCAACACCTCCACCTTGCGCACGCTCGCCCGCATCGCGTCGAGCTTCTGTCCAAACGCCTTCTCCGGCACCTTGGGCAGCGTCTCGAACGCGCAGCCCAACGCCTGGATGTCGTCCAGCGTGCTCCGGCCCCGCGGGCTCTCCTCCGCCAGCAGCACGCCCTTGGCCCGCGACTTGGCCGTGGCGAACCGCATCATCTCGCCAAAGAGGTCAAATACCCCGTACACGTAGTCCTTGTCCGCCAGCGTCACCCCGCACGGCACCGCCGCCCGCGTCTCCGCCGGCGTCAGTAGCGTCTGCGTGCGCAGGTAGTGCGCAAACGTGAGCGCTTCGACTAGCTCCTCGAGGCACGGGAGGTAGTAGCGGTACCGGTAGAGGCCCGAAATGTCTCCCGCGATGAGGGAGAGCGATTTCTCAATGTCGGCGAGGCGGGTGTTGACCTCTTTTTGTATGGCGGGGCTGGGCTCTTCGTTGATGGCGTTGGACCTGTGTTGCCACCGAGTTAGAACTCATGGTCTCCCGAAAAGGAGAGGCGTGGCGCATGCTTTGCCGTTTACCTGTGGAGAGCAAAGATTCTAAAGTAGACGTACGTTAGCGGTGGATTCGTCAGATAGGCAAAATCCGATATCTAGGCAAGAGGCTAGGAAACAGGGGCCTTGAAACAAAACGAAGACAAGAAGAAAAGGCGAGAGGACTGCGTACATCTTTTGCTATGGGCGGTGACGTCTCTAGATGATTTGACAATCCTCTCTTTCCGGTCATAGTGCTCGTCCAGCTCCGCCCGGAACCCTTCAAACAGCGTAGTGAACCTTCCGCGAGGGGCAGCCGGCCCCGGCACCACCGTCTGCCCGGCGTGATCCCTCTTGACGCCCATTTTTAGAGACGGCAGGAAATACTATCAGATTATTTGATGGCGAAGAAAAAAAAAAGCTGAGGGGGTGAATATCACTAGCTCCTACAAGAAAACTTTTCTATGCCCTGCGAGTTTAGTTTCTTCTCATCTGATTGCACAAGCTCTCGTCCTCCGGCTGGATACTCCATCGAGTCCTCGCTTCGGGCCCGAGTCAGGTTCGACAAAAACACTGGAGACCGAAGTTCTGAGTGGATCCCTCACGTGATTCCGTGGAAGCACTGAATTACGTCATCATACTATTATGCGGGCGACACAGGGGAAGGACACGACCACTCCAGGGGGTGTGCAAACGCCCAAGGAGGCCAGAGCGACGCCCATCCCGCGCAGCTAAACGCGACCTCATCTCATCTCATCAAAATTATGGCCGAATTTCTTTTGTGATTCCGAGAGCTGATATCCGGACGGACGACCGCAATTGATTTGAAGCTACAGCTCCTCACGCCGCTTCAAACTCGCATGAGCAAGTCTCAATTGATGATAATACCGGGACCGGAATCGTTCTAGTCCAGCCACTCCTTTCTTCCGTTTCCTCTTTTGCATCCAGTTCTGCTCCCCTTGAGCCATGAGAACCGCGGCCAGGGGTGAAGCCAAACCATTTTGATTTTCCCCAGAGCCCCCAACACTCAGTCCTCCGCCACCAGCCAGGTTTCAAACTCACCTCTCCCCACCCCATCGGTAAACCAGTCGGCCCCATCACCTCTCTCCCCTCCTTCATCCCCGAGCTCTCAGCTCAGCACCTCCCACAACCATGGCCCCCTCCTCCTCAACCTCATCTCCAAACCCCTCCCCCTCTTCACCCTCTCCTTCCTCCTCCGCCTCATCCTCTTCGCCTACGGCCTCTTCCAAGACGCCTACACCCCCGTCAAGTACACCGACATCGACTACCTCGTCTTCACCGACGCCGCCCGCTTCGTCGCCGCCGACGCCTCCCCTACGACCGCGAAACCTACCGCTACACCCCTCTGCTCGCCTGGTTCCTCCTCCCCACCGCCACCTGGTTCTTTTCCTTTGGCAAGCTCGTCTTCGCCGCCGCCGACTTGCTCGCCGGCTGGCTCCTCGCCCGCATCCTCATCGCCGGCGATGGCGGTGGCGGTGGCGGCCATCCTCCCGCCGATGCCGGTCCCGGCTCCGCTTCCGCCGTCACTCGCCGCCGCGCCCCCATGGACCCCGCCCGCGCCTACCGCTTCGCCGCCATCTGGCTCCTCAACCCCATGGTCGCCACCATCAGCACCCGCGGCAGCTCCGAAGGCCTCCTCGGCGTCCTCACCGCCGCCCTCCTCTGGGCCGTCTACCGCCGCCGCTTCGCCCTCGCCGCCCTCCTCCTCGGCCTCGGTGTCCACTTCAAAATCTACCCCTTCATCTACGGCCCCGCCATCATCTGGTGGATGGACGAGGACCGCCTCACCGGCTCCAGCCCTACTACTACCACTGCTACCGCAACCAAGCCGCCCCCGCCTTCCCCCTTCATGCGCGCCCTCTTCTTCATCACCCCAACCCGCGTCAAATTCGCCATCATCAGCCTCGCCACCTTCACCGCCCTCAACCTCCTCATGTACTCCGTCTACGGCACCCCCTTCATCCTCCACACCTTCCTCCACCACGTCTCCCGCGTCGACCACCGCCACAATTTCAGCCCCTACAACGTCCTCCTCTACCTCTCCTCCTCCCGCCCCGCCGGCCACCACGCATCCGCCGCCGCCCTCGCCATCGAATCCCTCGCCTTCCTCCCCCAGCTCCTCCTCTCCGCTCTCCTCATCCCCCTCGTCGTCGCCAAGCGCGACCTCGCCACCTCCATGATGGCCCAGACCTTTGCCTTTGTTACTTTTAACAAGGTCTGCACGAGCCAGGTAACGAAACCCCCCTCTTTTCTTCCAACGTCTGCCGACCCCCGCTAACCTCCGTTTCCAGTACTTCCTCTGGTACCTCATCTTTCTCCCCTCTACCTCCCCATCTCCACCTTCCTCGCCTCTCCCGGCCTCGGCCTCGCCGCCCTCGCCGCCTGGATCCTGCCCCAGGCCCTCTGGCTCCATCAGGCCTTCCAGCTCGAGTTCCTCGGCCGCTCCACCTTCACCCCAGGCCTCTGGGCCGCCTCCCTCGCCTTTTTCCTCGTCAACTGCTGGATCCTCGGCATCGTCGTGTGGGATGGCGCCGTTGGACCCTCCGCCAGGCCCCGGCCAAAAAGGCGTAAGCCGCCGCTAGCGAAACCGACAACAAAAAACAGAACAAACCTTTCCGTCTTTTTAGCACATTAGCAAACCTCTCGCGGCCACCCACGCCTCTTCTAAGAAGCTATGCCTTCCTCCTTACCTCTTGGCCTCCGTTTTTCCTTAATCTTGTTTCTGTATACTAATTCGGAGGATATAAATTTCTTCCTAACGCATCTCAGCATGGCCCTTGTTTCTTTCCATACATGTAGCGATAGAGCTGATAGAAGGCGTCCGAGGCCGCCGCACCTTGGAACATACAACATCAACACCACTAGACAATGCAATTTAGTTTCTTCAAGTCTATCTCTATCCTCACCATCAACTCGTAGCACGACTACGTACACACGGTCAGAGAAAGGACGGAATCTTTTGTAGAGAATAAGCATAACTTCTGTTCGTCCGTCTGGACACCCATTATCTAGCCTGACCCTGACCCTGACCCAATTATTGGATGGGCCGGACCCAACGCGGCAAAATTTAACTCCATGGCCGTAGGCTGTCGAGGTAGACAAGCATTTGATTGATGCAGCCCACCCTCGCTCCCCGTTGGCTCATTTTTGCACCCGTTCCAAACCCCTCCGTCCTCGACCAAATGCACTAAACCTCCCGGGCAAGGCAGGAAGACATGATCGCTTTCCACTTCGCCTCACCATATCTCTTACTCCCGAGTTCCACGGGACGTTAAGTGAACCGTTCCCCAAGCAGACATGACAATTTATCGACCTTGACAATGAATGGGTCGATATCAAATGGAAAGAAAAGTAAGAGAAACGAAAGAAAGGAATTGGGGGAAAATATGACTGATCTGCAGTCAAGAGAAAGAGAGAGAGAGAGAGAGAGAGAAAACGGAAAAGAAGAAAAAAAAAAAGCTACCGTTCCCTAGGGTATGAACCGAGTTCCCATAAACCTCAGCTGCGAGATGTGCTCCTGGTGCTCGCCCTGCCTTGTTATTTCCTGTATATGATTCCGCCTTGAACGCCGTCGTCGTGATTTGGGTTTCAAATAGAAACGAACAAAAACAAAAGAAGAGAAAGAGAAAGAGAAAGAGAAAGAAAAATGCCACCCCGAAACGAAGAGCACCTCCTCGTTGCCCAAGATACCATCTTAGTTAGGTTACCCACAAGTGGGATAAAAAGGCTGCCTCGGTCTCGGCGGCAGTCCAATGTATTCACGCTGCTGGGCAAGATTGGCCGCGAAAGGGATCACAGATCCAGTGCACCTCAATAGCTAGAAACGTCTCGAATCAGGCATTAAGGGCGGGAATTTGATTGAATGATCCGATAGCTGGAGATCTTGAGCGATCGAACGCGGAGGCGATTTCCCTGTGTGCTAACGTAAAGTCTTCCGTCCTTATTCCAGGCAAGATCTCCAAAGTTTTCCGTTAGCTCTTCGTACTGAGCCATGGGTCTGACGCGAGCCAGCTCTCTAAGCAATGTGTCGCTCCAAACACCGGTGCATCGTCCATCCCTCATGAGGAAGTAGGGGTTCAGTGGAGGCACAGCAGACTCTGCGAGGCCGGTCGTTAGCATCAAGTGCGATTGGACAATCGTGGCCCAGTTGTGCATCGTGGACTTACCAAGATCAACGTAGCGGATTCGCAAGAAATTAAGAGCCGTCAAAGCCTCCATAGAACGGATTGCGCCGAGAACGAGATTCTCAAAGTTTTGTATGAAAGAAACGTCAAAGATGCCGGTGCCTGAGCTCTGAAACTCGGGGGAGCGGCAAATGTTCTTGACGGTCAAGTCAATAGACTTGAGGCGTGTAAGGCGAGGATTAGCCTTTAGCGCAGCCACGTCGAAAAATGCTCGGCAGATGCGACCCGTATACGAAAGGTGCTCGAGCGCAGGGGTTGCCTCGGCTAGCTTCGCACAAAAGTGAACCTGCTGGGCCACCTTGTACGCATATCCGGGCGTAGACATTTCCCGTCGGTAGTCGGCTTCGAGGAATAGGCTCAGGTGGGTAATTGTGGAGGGCAGGCGAGGAAGGAACCGCGCCATGGTCAGGTAGCTCTTAGACTTGGGCCTACTGTACGTTCCATGCCACTCACAAAGGTTGGGGAAAGCGGCCATGAGGAAGGAGAAATCGCAATCCTCCCTCAAAAGATTCCACTGCCCTTTGGTGACCAAGGTCCGTATACTGGCCAGGACAGGGACCGATTTGGAGACGAATCCGCCAAGGCTCGCCGGCGGTGAGTTCCTGACCTTGGGCGCCTTCCTTCGCTCACCTCCTTCCAGAGTGAGCACCGAGACGCCGGGTAAGATGAGCCCGATAAACTCAAATACCTGTTTCAAACTGGCGTTGTTATACGGCAACTGATAACTGGCTGCCGTGGCTAGGCCTTCCTCTCGTGCCGCGGTTACAACAGGCGTCGAGTTCGCATCCGTGGCGGACTGACCGTAACGGGGCTGGAAAACGGGAAACCAAGCCTCTAGGTGTCTGACATAGTTGGCTAGGTGAGGATGATCCATGAAGAAATTGGCTGCTCGAACAAGGGAATCATGGCTGCCTTGAATCTTGATATGGCGATAGAGGCGGCTTTGTATCAATGGGCGCCAGACCCGACTCACAAGAGCCAGCTGCGAGATCTCCTTGCGCCGAGAGTACCGGTGCAAAGTCCCCCATGGCTTAGTCACGCAGGCCAGGTCGACGGAGCTCTTGGACTGCGGCGAGATGCGGAATCCAAAGAGGTGGTCGAGGATAGCCTCATGTATTTCTGTAGGGAGGCCGTCTAGGCCTACGGAAGCAACGGCGTAACTTGACTGTTCGGGTAGGGTCGCGGCCAAAGAGGTGGCGTCGGGAGAGAGCAAGTAGAAGTTTTCAATGTCGGCATCGTGACAGAGAAGAGGGCGTGGGTCGTTTCGGAGGAATGGAGTGCTGCTAGGGCGCGCGGGGGGACGAAATCCGCGGGCTTGGGCTGGTCGAGAGGAGGACTGGAGGGCCCGGGCGAGACGGGATTCGAAGAGGTGCTATGGGCGTTCGCTTGGGCGGCGACGATTGACGTCAATTCGTCGTTCGTCGTTGACCTAAAGGCATCTTCGGACCTAAAATCTATGTCATGCTGCGGAAAGTCGGACGATCTCGGCGTGTACGTGAAAATGGCGTCGCCATCTGCATCCGTGATCAACGACTGGATATCCATGACGCTGAGACCAGGGAGAAAGAAGTCGGGCAGAAAGAAACGCAGAAAGTGAGAGGTAACGGGAAGAGTATCAAAGGAGAGGGAGAGCAAGCCACGAAGGAGGATACTGGCGATACCGGCTTCAAGATGAGGGAGAGGATGGGGGAGGGGCATCCAAGTTGGCATGGCACGTGTCGGAAGGTATGGTGGTTCGGTATGTCGTGCGGAGGGGGTATCGGCGGAGATCAGGAGACTAGACTTGGGTAGTGGAGGCGCTCGAAAGTTTGGCAGGAGGATATTGGTGACGAATAATGGCCAAGTGCTTGGACAAGGTTGGGCCGCAAGGCGTTTTCTCAATTTTCGTCCACTCTTTCGGTTCGTTCAAATTTCGCGGGGGTGGTCGTCGGATGCGCAAAGGAAGCGGGCGAGAGGTCCGGCAGTAGGCTTGCGTCTGGTTGCGTGTACAGTGTCGGTGGATTGGGGGAGGGGAGTTTTTGGGGCCGGGTGGGCGAAGAGGGAACGGCGGAAAAAGTTTCGATTGCGTTTACCTCGACGGAGCGGGGTGGAATGGTCTCCGAGTGATGATCGAGGAAGATGAGAAACAGATCTCAAGATCGTCCACAGTTCAACTTCTGCAAGGCCAAGGTTGGATGATCCTGCTCAAGCGTGGCCGGGGAACAAGGAACCGGTTCTTCTGGCAAAAGAAAGAGGAAGGAGAGATCCAGGTGGGCTAGGATGTGGAAGGCGCCAAAGCATGGGAAGGCGCGGCGGCGAAGGGTTTAACTTCCGGGTTGCCCTTGCGCTTTTGCTTTTTATGTCTTAATTCCGGGGACTCCTTCTAATAATTGCTTTTTCTCCTCTTCGGTTCATATAGTGTAGATATTCGACGCAGTCGTGATCGAGACCAGGGAGTAAAAGAAAGGAAAAGAAAAAGAAAAAGGTTCGAATGGCTAGACTGGTTCACAAGGTGAGAGTGGGTGGCTTGAGTGATGTATTTCTGCAGGAAGTCTGCGCAAGGCGTCAAGTCGCGTGCTCCAGAGGCGAGGAGGGGAGAGACGTCTTTCAACAACGGGCCTCGAAGTATCGGTATCGAAGATGCCCAGCGAGGCCTGGCGTCGGTCTGAATGCAGAGTCGCCTACCGTAACACAGTCAAGGGAGTGGGGGAGGGGGAGAAAAAAGGCTGCTGAGGCCTCTAAGAATTTTGGGGAGGGAGAGAGGGGCGCCTCATTCGGTAAGATTGGCTCTCATCATTTCCCTTGTCTAGGGACGCATGATTTCGTTGGGTCTTCAAGGCGCGGGGGTAGGGGAGGGAGGCGGCCAGCGAAATTTGGGGTAATATTGATATCTCTTTTCGACCTCCAAAGAGGGGGAGGGGAAACCATTGGATTATTATCAAACAAAGTCGCTGAAATCCAATGTCGGTTGACAACGCCTCGCTCGTGGGAGAAGAAACCCGCGTTCCCGCGTAAATTGGCTGCAGGGTGGGTACATGCAAGAGCCAGGGATATCAGGGGACTCTAGTCCGTTTTGGCACTGTCTATCCACCTCGGCAGCGCAGTCGCAGCCCTTTTTCCTCATCAATTGAGCGTCGTTGCGTTAATCCAGTTTGCGAGCACAGGCCAAGACGAGCCCAAATCGCAACATTGAAATCTTCCCACCGACTTTTTTGGTGTGCATTCGGATATCCGTACTGTGCCAGCGCCTCATTTGGTATTATTGGATTCCTCGCACGCTGCCTTTGTTCGAAGGGCAGCAGCCACAAATTCGATTCCAAGCCACGCCTGGAGCATCTCATCATCCCACCAGGTCGGCAATTCTTCCGTCGTTTGCTCGAAACCCAGCTTGCCAGCCTGATTGAATAGAAGAGAGTCTGCCACACTCACACGCATTATCCAAGGATCGCGCGGAAGGGGCTTTACCAGAATCGACGTGGCACAACCACGTCAACTAATGCACTTTGAATGTATCCGTACCTAACTAATCTTTCCACATCGTGATCTTTCTCTTGGTCTTTAGATCTCCGTGTTATGAGACACAACGGTGCACCACCGATGTCCGCTAACGGCGATCGAATATTATCAGTCTTACTTCCATCAAACAAGTCTTGGTTCGTCTCAGGGTCGAGCCTCGTCGCTCCCCAATTCCCCTTGCACGTCCGTGTTGATCACCCATGCCTCCCCGCGATGTCCGATCTAGCCGGCGAAAAGTTTATCGCAAAATTGATTATATCCCGTGCTTTGTGGCTACCAATTGCTGCCAAATAAGATGCAGTACAGTACATTACCTATTTCGCCGGAGTCCTTGTCGTCCATCGTCTTCAGACTTGTTTTCGCTATAGCCAGCATCATCATGACACCTGATGCGACAATTGATGGTTGTTCACTGAACGGCCAACAAATGTTGTATGCAACCTTAACATCGGTACATCTTCCCCTTTCCGCATCACCTAAGAAAGCCCAAAAGAGGTTGGGGATGCATGGGCCTTATCTTGATAAGTGTCTCGATTTGAGCCCGAAAGTCCAGACCCCGCCCCTACAAGAAGTGCTTTCTTCCGCTACTGACACTTTAAGTCCACGTCCTACGTCACTGCCCATTGCCTCATGCATTAGTGACTGCCCTGACCCTCCATCTCCATTTCCTCCCCAGCGGGATGGACAAGGAAACGGCAAATGCCCGAAACCCGTAGGTTACACGGCGGCTCCCCTTACTCTCGAGTAGCCCTCTGAATTATTCCCTGTCGTCGCTAGTTCTGACTGTGGGCACAATCTCTCAAACCACACCCTATAAGAAGTTCAAGACCAACACCAGAAGAAGGCGAAGTAAAGAAAGAAATGGCCAAGCAAGCACAGCTAATTCGGTTCACAGAAGCACGGTGTCATGTAGTCGAGTGTAGGACATCGTCTCAGGGCGCCTATCAAGGAATCCGGCGTGGGCGGCCTTGAGTCTAAGATGTCGTGACCTTGTATGAAGCATCCATGTAAGCCATTATCAACCATGTCTGCCTAGTATCCCAGCTCCCATTCGAATGAGAGTTGAGCGTTATACGTAGTCCTAAACCAGCCAGATGGGCACGATCGCTGTATCCTGTTCCTAAACTCTAGTCTGACTGGTGTCCAGTCGATAAACTAAATGTCCGCATTCTCTGATGCATTCGGCCACTATAGCGTAAACTCATCGAACTCCGTAACAAAGGCTCTAGCCTATCTCGCCAGTTTCGTCTATGCAAAGTTGTCGTACGTCGCGGGATCCCCACTTCCTAGGGCTCAATAGGTCAACGAGGTAATCTATAATCCCGCTGAGCTCTCGTCCTCGCGCAGGAGCAAACGCGGAAGAGCATTCACTCGATCGAGGAACTAGAAGCTGCATCGACCTGCGAGACCGCTTCACGGGTTGAGTCGGAGATGACAATATATCCCGGGATGCCGGTGTATGGTTCCGCACGGACCCGTCCGGTGCCCGCCCCGCATCCCGGGATATGGATCCGGCTCAGACCGGCCCAGGCATCCGTTTGGACAGCAGCCATACCGGCGACGCCAGCCAAATAAACCATCGCTTTCTATTCCTCCATACACTGCACTGCGACCAATACCCTCGCACAACTACTCTCTTCCGACCAGCTGACAAAAGAGCGGTCACTCTTGCAGGTGGCCAACAGTGGACAACCAGCGGCGGTAAGATGAGAGAGATTTGAGACCAAGAGCAATTCAAGTGTGTGAATAGATGTTAGCATCATTCAGCGGGAACTCTAGAACTACATACAGCACGTGTATCTAGTGACTTGGTTCCTCTTCCAACGCCCTTCGGCAGGCATGGCGAGGGCCAATGTAGAATCCACCCGGCCACTCCAAAACAACATCGGAGTTCAGATATGGGTGTTCCAGTTAAGACTCGGATAGTAGCTGGGGGTTAAGTCCTTTTCGAGTAAATATAGTGCATATTCTTCGAACAGCAGACCCATTAGGCATCTTAGATGACAGGATTCCCCGGTTCTGATAGAAATTATGGAGCTGGAAGAATATTGCCGATTTGAAAGGTCCAATGTTGTCACGGTATCCCTGGCAGATTGGAATCTAAGAGAGAGCAGTGAGAGAATAACCAATAAAGATAATTCGTAGAAGCTACTCACTATCCTAAGCGAATGATAGCGGTCTTCTTAGCATATACAAATCTGACATGAACTTCCCCGCATCAGATCCTCGACAGCCATTCCAATCTCGAATCCCCATCCATCCACAATATATACTCAATGCATCGCGAAACGCCATAGATCCGCGTCAGCCAAGTCTCCCATCAGATGAGGCTCTCTTCGAGATCCGGTTCGCGATCGCAAGCTAGCGTAATGGTAGGTCAAAAATGGGCTTCATGACCCTCACTCAAACACCTCTAAAGGCTAAGCCACTGCATAGAATGGTTTCAATGATAGAGCCTCTCTTCCTCACTCTCTTCCTCATCCCTTCAAATTTCAAAAGAGTACGAGACTTCCCAAAAATAATTAAGGGCTCATTACTTGTTTGAATCAATATGCTTCTCTTTTGAAAGGCAGCTGCGTAGCAACCTTCTCTCTGACTCTGAATATAGATGCTTTTGATTCTGCCACCTACATGATCAATCATACATACATGTCACGAATCTATCAAAGCAATTAGAGCACAGATACTCTGAGTACATAGTGGTCCGAATGTGCTGGCCTACCAAGTGATCACGCAAGGAAATGCATTCATTCATCCATCACCATCGCTTTTCGGGCCATGTAGGACACGGCTCTCGTCGAAAGGCCCGAGAAGTCCCGGTCGGTGAGTGAAGAGAGACGTTAGCAGGGCTACTGAATATAGATATCGATAGCAGGTATCTATGATCAGAATGCGTTGATCGCAAAATTTTAGTCTATATGGCCATCGCCATCCTCACGGTGTTCGGCTTACTACGAGAAGCCCAGTCCCTCGCCAACAACACTCTCCAGATAGAACCCGGTCACCACGCCCGCAGCGCACTCCCGTCAGTCTTGACTATTCGCAAACGT